TGATAATAGTAGTGTTGACAAAATACTTTCCCGTGATGGTAATGAAAATCTCGATGATGACAACGACGATGATGAAATAATTGACAATAGTATTAGTGATGACATTGACGATGACGATGATGATGCCTTTGCATACTTAGGCTGATAACACTGTTGTGATAATGGTAGTGATAATGATAGAGATATATCAGTGATAATGGTGATGATGTTGATAAGAAAAACGCTGATGACCTCGATGTTAAGAGTTTGATTGATTATCTATGCCCTTTCCTCAGAGTTACACTTTTCAAAAGGTTTTTGCATTTGAAATGTGGCCGCGAAAGCCTGCCTAAGCTTTTTCCATAAAACACAATCAAGCACAAAATGTACAGACGCTTTGTACACACACTCACGCACGCACACACGCACACACACATGAAAACACACATACACACACACACACACACATAATCATTATTCAATTGAATTTATAAAACTCGTATCACTCACACAAAACGTACACACACACACACACGTGAAAATTTACATACATTCACCCGCGCACACTCATTGTTTAATAAAAATTAGAAAAACTTGAATCATTTTTATTTGGGCTTGATTTGCATTTAAATTGACTAAACCAAACCGGCTTCAAACCCTCTCAGAACATCAACCGATTAGCATGAAACAGTTTTTAAATAGAGAAATATAAAAAGCAAGTGAAATCAAAAGGCGGAGTAAGACGGTTGAATGATTACAACCAGAGTGGTCGTCTGACTTAATTTAATTAATCAGCAAACGCAAGATTCATTCCATGTAAACACAATAAATAACAAAACGTTAATCTATTTTTCCGTCAACATGCAAGAGAAGTTTGTCGTTGGTCTGTGTATGTGTGTGTGTCTGTGTGTATGTGTGTGTGTGAGTGTAAATATGCGTACGTGTGTGTGTGTATTTAATTATTTGCATGCAAATATGTACATGTGCGAATGTGTGTGCAGATAACGTAATGTGTGTGTGTATGTTAGCTGGTGTATGTGTTTGTGTGCGTGACTGTGTGTTTCTAATTTTTTGTTTTTTTTTTCCGCGTCATCATCAATATCAGTACCAACACAATCATCGTATTGATCGTCACTATCATCATCATCGTGTTGATCGTCACTGTCATCATCATCATCATCATCCGGTCATCATCACCATATCACGGAGGATGATATGAGGAAGAAGCAGACTTAACTTTTTTAATTCATCTTCAAAAAAACGTAAGCAAAGGAAAAAAAACTGAAAGAATTGAGATAAAATTTAAGTCAACTGAGATAATCTGCACAAACATTATGAATGTAAAATGAATGAATGAATTTGAAATGAATGGATGAATGCAAATTGAATGATTGAAGGAGCGTAAACAGAATGAATGAATGAATAAATGACAAAAATGAAAGAGTGAAAAAACGATGTGATGAATGAATCGATGAAAAACGTCTTAGCTGTAAAACATTTTCATTCTTCAAAGCTCCATAGAAACTAAACTGGAAGCTGTAAAGTCTGAACGAGTCATAATAAATCGACACATTTGAAATTTTTGAAATCGACACATGAAGATGTGCTTTGTAAGAGAAAGAAAGCTGTGTTGCATCAGGTGCGTGCGTGTTTGTGCGCGCATGTGTGCGTGTGCGAACGAAAGTCTGTGTTTATGCGTGTGTATATGTGTGTGTGCGCATATTTATAACCAAACAAACACACACATAAACACACACACACACTCACACACACAAACAAACAAACAAGCGATGTATGAAATTGTTTGCACTTGCTGAAAACATTGTTTTCCGACTTGCAAACAAACCTGTGCGTATGTATAAAATAATTTTAATTTCAATTTAAAATCTCCTACAAACTGCACTTAGAAATACTGTTTGGCTGCATTTGTCGTGAAAAAAAAGAGAGAAAATTTTTAAGTTAAAAATATTATTTCACATTTTCAAGTCCGTTTTAAAAATTTTATTTTTATTTCAAAATGTCAAACGACGGGCATAATAACAACTGTACCTTATAATTTTGTACTACTACCTTATAATTAACAATAGTAACATCAATAAAGTCAGCAGTGTCAAGAAATTAATAAAAATAATAACGACGATGATGATAATAAATATTATTAGTAATAATATTAATAATAATTATTATTAAAATAATAATAATAATTATTATTATAATAACAATGGATACACTTTTATTGATCTTAAAACTTTAAAAACGAATGATTAGTACCAAATAACGATGATGATGATGATGATAATAAAATAATAATAACAATATAACAACAACAACAACAACAACAACAATAATAATAATAATAATAATAATAATAATGACAACTGTTGATATGGCTGGAAAAATAAAAAAATGGGTTATTCCAAATGGATCCACCACCAACTTATTATCAGTTATCAGCTTCTATATCCAAATTTATTTTTTTTGTTTCGTTATCATTTTTTTCTTTGGTCCTACAGAAGTCATCTACTTCTTCATTTTCATCCTTTTCATCGCCATCATCATCATTATCATCATCATCATCATCATCATCATCCTCATCATCACCATCATCATCGTCATTAGGTTTAAAATCAAATGATAGTGTGAAATCACTATCACCAACGCCATCATCGCCAACATCATCATCACCATCATCGTCATCATCATCACCACAACCATCCTTATCATCAACATCATTATCGTTACCACCATCATCACAATCATCCACCAAAAAACTTCTCATCGTCACCAGCAGCATCCAAGCCAAATCACTAATGACTTTTTAATTGTAGGACTCATTGCATCGCATTTTCATTTGTTAGCCCCAGTCAGCAGAGATAGATTGTTTGACCATCGGTCATACACAGCAACAACAATAGCAACAATAATAAACAGCTTTAATTATGATAACAATAGTTAAAACATAATTATTGTTTTTATTATTTGTAGTAGAAGTATTTGTGATTTAATAACTGTAATAAAACTTGTAATATAGCAATAATATTATTAATATAAATATATATAATAATAATAATATAATAATAATTTATAATAACTTAACGCTAATGATCCTGATGACGACCGGACAGAAATTTGTACACACAGTTGATATACATTATTATTAGATACATTTGTTTGTCTTATTGATACAAATATTATTCTAAAATCTTACTCTTGATACTTTTTATAAAAATAATTGAGTCTATTAAATACAATGAACAATTTTAAAATCAAGCTAGGAGAGCTAGGACATTTATTTTGTAGTGGCTCTTCTTACACAGATGCTAGTCCGTCCACTGAACCACTTTAAACTTTGTTATTATTATAATATTATTTTATAATTATTTAAAGAAATTATCGTTACTAATATATTATTATTCAAATTATATTGTTTTATTATGATTTAAAGAAATTTTTATAACTAATATATTATTATTTAAATTATATTATTTTATTATTATTTAAAAAAATTATCATTACTACTGTTTAGACGAGTTTCTTTAAAAAAATAGATAAAAATATATGAATAAATAAAAAATCCCTAAAAAAATCACCCAAGTTCTAATGTGAATACATTAACAGGATTTAATTTTTTGGAGAAATCTTTTTGGAATAAAAAAATTTTCATAAATTTTGTTTTGACCAAAATTTGCCGAAAGCTTGTAAATTAATTTCAATTATGTGCCTCTTGTCGCTGCTACTACCACTACTGCTACTGCAACTGCTACTACTACTTGTACTATTACTACTTCTACTACTACTGCTACTACAACAATTACTATTACAACAACAACTACTACTACTACTGTTACTAGTATTACTACTGCTACTACAACAATTACTGCTACTACTACTAATTCTATTACTATTATTATGATTATTATTATTATTACTATTATTTTTATTATTATTATTATCCAAACGATTGCTGTTTGTTTGCAGATTTGGAAAAGGAAGGCATTCGTCCAATGTCACTCCTATTCAACACGTTACGATCAGACATTGCCCTTTTGAGGGGCAATAAGATTGAAATATTAGAACTGACGATATGCCATGAAACTAATCTAATTTCATCGAAACAATATAAACAACAAAAATATAAAAATTTAAATGCATATCTAAATAAAGAATATAAAGATTGTTCTATAATAATTAATACATTTGAATTGTCGCCAATTGGTTTATGTAATAATTTTAATCTATCGATATTTAAATTTACATGGTCAATACTGTTTAACTTTAAATTAATAAACAGTGTTATTAGCTCGTCATATGGAATTTTTTGTGACAGAAACGTTGCCTAATGCTATTTTAAATATAACTTACACCCATGCACTTGCCATTGGCAATGAGGATGGGTGGATCGTACATTTGATTATTTTTATTCTATTGATTATTTTTATTCTATTCATTTTAACATTTTAGTTACAATTTATTATCTTAATATCTTATAGTTTCATTGTGTCGATTGGATAAATAAAATATGTTCACATTATTATCCTTATTATTATTATTATTATTATTATTATTATTATTATTATTATTATTATTATTATTATTATCATTATCATTATCATTATTATTATTATTATTATTATTATTATCATTATTATTATAACTACTACTTCTTCATTTACCACTACCGCTACTACTGCTGCTACTTGCTGCTACTACTAATGCTATAATTTTACCACATAATTATTTTTGTAATTTGTTCTGTAACCATCATCATCACCACCGTAGTCATCATCACCATAACCGGACCAAATCTATCGTTATCATCATTATCATTATTGCTACATTCATTGTTAGTATTATCATTTTTGATCATCATCATCATCAACAACAACATCATCATCAACATCATCATCATCATCAACATCATCATCATCACTATCATTACCACGACCATCCATCTACATAAAACATTTCCTTCCACTGATATTTAGTGTGACGTGGCAACCGGAAGTCGTCTGTTTTTTGACATGATGCACCAGCAACCAATCAAATCCGTTCTTTTTGGCGGGTCTTGTGATCACGTGACGGAACCGCTGGCCGAGACATCCGCATGGTGGGACATCGTTCAGGCGAGTGATAGGGTGGATAGATGAATGGACGGATGAATGAATGAATGGAAGGATGGATGGATGAATGGATGGATGGATGGATGGATGGCCTGCTGAATGGATGGATAGATAGATAGATAATTAAATGAATGGATAAATAATTTTGTTTAGTGCATTAACAAGAGTAAAGTTGCATTGAATAAACTACTCAACGAAGCATTTAAATTATTTTAAAAACATGAAAAAAATACTGAAAAAGATTGAGCGATAATAAAAAATATTGAGAAAACTAAAAAAATACAAAAAATAAATTAATAATATTGAAATATATTAAAAATTATTTAAAAACATTAATAATCATTGAAAAATATTTAGCTATCTAACAACTCAGCGCGTGTTACTTTCGAGAACAGCGCTCAACCCCATGCCATTTGTTATTCTTCTAAATAATGGAAGATGGCCAGCAAAAAAGGTATGCACCGTGTTCATGGGAGCATTACATAAAGCAAACACTTATTCACTCTGACAAGACTCGTCTTTTTTGAATGAAATATTTGCTAGGTAGGTACTTTGAGAAACCTTTATTGTGTTTCAGTGACAAATGTCTGCTATATCAATATGTGGTCTATTTTTGAGATTTCGAATGACGTTTGATCTGCGTGAAATAGAATAGAGTTATGGATGTTTGTATGTGTGTATGTATGTGTGTTTGTTTGTTTGTTTGTATGAATGTATGTATGTATGTATGTATGTATGCATGTGTGTGAATGTTTGTATGTATTTGTGTTTGTATGTATGTATGCATGAATGTATGTATGTGTGTGTGCGTGTGTATGTTTGAATGTATGTGTGTTTGTTTGTTTGTATGTGTGTATGAATGTTTGTATGTTTGGATGTATGTAGGTATATAAGAAAAAATGGAAGAAAGAATTTGCGCGTTCATCATTCGTGCAGAGAAGTTAATACCATTGTAGTTTATTGCTTGTTCATTTTATGTAGTCATGTTATATCTCTTTACGGCATGGCTCTTATGGGCTGTGTTGTTTAATTTTCAGAACCGCAATAACGATAAGCTCAGAATTTGAAACAGTGGCTGCCGATATAACCAGGCCATACAACATCACTTTGGAGTTACTCCAGTTGATTATTATCGATTGTTTTTTATTCATTTTGGCCATCGCTATTTTTTTCATAATTGTTATTTATTAACCGGAAAATTTATCACTTATTGGTAGCAATAGCAGAAGCAGCTGCGGTAGTTGTAGCAACTGTAGTAGCAGTAGTAGCAGTAGTAGTAGTAGCAGGACTTGCAGCAGCGCAATAGTAGTAGTAAGTTCGTGTTAGTAATCAATGGTAGTAATTATAACCATAGGTATACGTGATATTAATTTATAACAGCCAATGTCCTTCATCATCATTATTATCATTGCCTTGTCATGTTGTATGAGTTAAAGATGTGATAGATGACTATGGTTACTGAATAATGGTTGTTCACTTCGTCTTCGTCACATAGAGAAGCAATGATTTGGTCAAGGAAAGTTTTTTGTATTTATCATCGTGATTACTTTCATCCTTTATGTTATTGTCATCATCGTCTCCATCATTATCACCTTTATTATCTCATTACGATCACCACAATCATCGTCATCACCATCAACCTCATCATTAGCTTAATCATTGACATCACCGTCATCATCTGCACCTTCTTCTTCTTCACCATCATCACCTCTGTCGTTGAATCCTTATCATTATTTATATCATCATCTTCACCATTCATCACCATCATCATAATCATAATCTACATCCTCGTCATCATTTTTATTATCACCATCATCATCGCCGTCGTCGTCGTCATCTTTATCATCATCATCAACACCTCCGCCACCATCATCATTATTATCATCATCACCACCATCATCATAATCATCAACATCTGTATCAATATCATCACCACAATCATCATCATCATCATTACCATCTCCATCATTATCATTCTCTTCACCACATCATCATCGTCATCATCAATTTCTTCTTCTCTATCATCATCTGTTGGAGATGAACCGTGGCTACATATTTAATTTCCTACGGCATTTTCCTTTTCCATCTTTTCACCACTTACATTGCCAAGCGATTTGTTGACATTATTGTTCATTGCTTCGTGATTCATCACAACTACAACTACTACAATATTTACTACTACTACTGCCGCTGTAGCTACTACTACTATTACTTCTACTACTGCTGCTACTACTACTGTTGAAGGTGTAAAATTACTGTTAATACTACGATAAATACTGCTGCTTTTGCTGTTTCTGCTACTTTTGCTACTACTGCTGCGACTACGCTGCTACTTCTAATTTTACTACTGCTGCTGCTTATTGCACTATTTCCACTGTTGCTAATGCTACTACTACTTTCCCCTAAAACTTTGGCTATTTACTACTTAAATTTAATTTGGCTTGGTTGTGTTGATGTTGCAACTGCTGCTGCTTCTTCTGCTACAGAAGTTGAAACTGGATATGTTCAACTTTTTTGCTTGTATTCCAATGCATACGTTTAGCCTTCTTTGTATGTCAATGACTGCGTGCTCACGTTCGTTGGTGTTGTTACTGGATTCGATTTTACGGAGATCCCTGCCTGTCAGATGCAAATGCTTGATATGCTCATAAAGGCGTTAACACGTATGGTACGTGTTTGCTCGTTTAAACTTCTCCGTAATGCAACCGAAGAGAAAAATAAAAAGCCCTTTAAAATGTCAAATGGTTTGATATAAACAATTGCAAATATGAGACCAATAACATAACATTATACGCGGGTGAGTTTTCAGAAGTTAACGCATGTGGACAAAGGTCTGAGTGCTGCAAGGATGGAAAGTTTATCGGGTGCTGAGAAGAAATTTGTATTCGAGCACTGCGTGTGCTTGAAAAACCAATTGGCCGCCATCAATATTTACAACACTTAAAAATAAATAAAAGGAGAGTAAAGTTGTCTGAGTGAGAACCTGCTCGTGCAATTTTCATTTGGCCGTGCGAACGATTTGTTCATCTAATGCCTCAGTCACATCCAACCTATCTCAACAGTGCTTTTGTCGTAACTTCAAGCTCCAACGTGTTTACGTTTAAATAATGGTGTTTGTGTTGGTGGATGTCGATCTGTATGTCTGTATATGTCTGTGTGTGTGTGTGTGTGTGTGTGTGTGTGTGTGTGTGTGTGTGTGTGTGTGCGTGCATGTATGCATGGTGCATGTATGTGTGGTTGGTTATGTGTGATTTTTTAGTAAAAATGATAATGCTTTCATTCAATTTATTAACTATACGCTGTCTGTTTAGTTAGGTTTTCTTGCTGCACGTTCATGCAACATGCATCTGCACTCAAAAGATTATTGAATGTGTGCAGATAGGTGCGTGCGAACATTACACACATACGCTGCTTTAATTTGAAACCTTTACACAAACACGCATCCACATAAACACAAAAACATGTAAAAAAAAGCTCTGTTTGTAAAGAGCACACTGACTCTAATATAAGCACACAAATTAAAAGATGACTGCATGCAAATCCATGGCAAATAGAATGTAATATCATTCGTGACCAGGAATAGCTGGACGCACCTACCTACATTGGTTTCACGATGGCGCATTTCTTATTTCTCTTCTTATTTCTACACGATGACAGCACAACTGCATGCAAGCAGATACACGTGCGATGGTTCATACGATGGATACAAATCAAATCTTTTATATCTTCCCATTTATTGATCTTATTGCACCAGAGTAGTTAACTTTTTGTATCGTTAAAATAATTTTATTTTCTGAATTTTTCACCAAAGTTTAGAAGTTGTGCGCTATAAAAGTTGATAATGTTGCGGGCATTGATTTGCACGCAGTGGCAACATTATAATTACTTTTTTTTATTCCTTTCTATTCATGGATTTATTTGTTGTTGGTACTTTCGTGTTTGCGATCAAATTAGTGTTTCCACTTGCGTTTTAAACTTTATTGTATATGTGTGTAGTGTTTTAATTATAAATAAATTATCATATTGGCGATTTTGAAAAAAACAAATTTGGATTCTGCGGTTTTAAAAGATTTTAGATGCAATTTCAAAAAGCATGCAATTATTTTTCAAGTTTTTTCTAACTTGTATATCATTAGTTTCTAATTTGTCTAACAACAGTTGGTTGAGTAAGAAAAAGAACTGGATGGTTTTTTGTGATTTTGAATAGATAATGATAACACACAGTTTTGCTTTTTCAAACAATTTTGTATCAAATTCTTCGATGTTGATTTATTAGTTAGCAGATCTAACTCTACACATGTAACACGTATCTGGTTTCATCTGGTAAAAAAAATCTAGCAATATACCATATTCGACTTGCTAGCTATTTGACAAAATGTCGTCCGTAATAGCAAAACATCAGCGGAGTTCGAATGCCTCCAGTGCTTTTCTAAAAGAAACGCCATATCTACCGTTGTCTTGATTCGCAGTTTTTGGATGTGAATTCATCATATTTGTAGTGCGACATTTTATGTTACCAAGAAGCCGACATAAGAAGCCGACATACTTGAAAAAGAGATTTGAAACTCTCCTGAGTTGTGGTTTTCAGTTACAAACTTCCTAGCTGTTTACGTGGACCTCCAGCGTTTGTTGTCAGGAATCAACCAAAGTGCACGTAGAAGACTATTGAAAGGATTCAACGCTGGATTAATAGCCCTACCGCAGACCACCCCTTAATAGAAGACACGCACTCACGCACGCACTCACTCACGCACACACGCATACACACACACACACTCACGCACACACACACACACTCACTCACTCAAGGACACACACAAAAGCGCGCGCACACACACACACGCTCACACACGTACACACATAAAAACGAACAAAACACAAAAACCGTGTAAACACAACAAAAATGCATATAGAACAGTAGTAAAAATGCATATAAAAACATGTGAAAGCATATACAAACAGACTCAAACATAAGCATACACATTAACACTCATACACCCATACATCAAAACGTACATAACATACCACCATACATATTCACGCATTCGCAGAAGACACACTCACATATACACTGAGGCACGCATGCGTATACACATAAATAACCAAATACATACAAACACACACATACATCCACAAACGCACATAAACACAAACACGTACACGTACAAACACGTACACACAATTTGATTCTGCCTTTATTTTGTCAAGTGCAAACCGTTCAAACTTAGATAGACGATAGGAATAAAAGTAATAAATATAAAAACGAAACAATAATTATTATTATTATTATTATTATTATTATTATTATTATTATAATAGATTAATTATAATAATATAAAAAATAATTACAATGATAATTACAAAAATCAGTAGCAATAAAATGTAAAGTCTATGAACAGTTCTTAAAATTATGTCATATGGCTTATCGCAATTATTTCTTCGCCAAGCGATTGTTTTGCAATCGCGATTGCCATACGTTTTTGCGTAAAATTTTTATTTCATTCAGTTCTTTATTTAACTTAAGGAATGATTTCTGTTCCTAGCGACGAGTTTGAAAACACTCCTGCGGTTTTGCTAACGTATGGAAACACCAAAGCAGCAGCCCGAAAACCTATCAGAGTAGTATATTAGTTTCTTCCTATATAGCTAGCACAAATCATTTCATTAGCTAGCGGTGTTTTCATTTATTATTGAGGAATGTAAGTTTGAATCGTTTGGATTTGCAATCCGACAACACAAATGTGCACTTTAAATACAGGAAATACAATTTAACTCATTAAAACCACATAATATTTTAATATGATCGTCAACAGAAGAACCTATGTCGATATTGATTTAAAATATATTAAAATATATGAATGTTTAATTTATAATATGCTATCAATGTTATTTTTTTATATTTATACATATTATTGTTTTCTAGGCAATCGCCCTGCTTGCTATTTAGAATGATACAAATACGTCAGTGAAAGTTTCATAGAATACTTAAACATAAATATTGTACAGAACATTACAACTCATAACAACAACTAAACAAATAACAACAACATCAAGAACAACAATAAAGCTAGCAACAAAACAACGCAACAAAATCATCAACAATTCAACAACAAAAAATTTCAATTCAACAACAATAACAACAAAATTATCAATTCAACAACAAAAACAACGAACAATATCAACAATTCAACAACAGAAAAATCAAATAATTAACAACATTAACAATTAATGCAACAAAATCAACTAGCAACAACAACCAACAAAACAACCACAACAACAACATCAACAACTAACATTGTACAATTGCAAACAAGTCATCTCAATCAAATACTAATAAGTACTCAGGGAATAAGCGGATATGACGTCATTAACCGGATTTTAAGTGTTTATTCATGAGGTGCGTGGACTCGTTAGTGGGAGGAATCTAATACAAAAAGTATTATTAACTGGAAAATGAAATGGAAAAATTCTACAATGAAAGAATCGAAGTTTGAGCGAATATTAAAAAATTAACCAAAACTTTAATTATAAATGAAGTGTGTGTAGTAGTAGTAGTAGTAGTAGTGGCAAGTAGTCGTGATGTAGTGGCAGTAGAAGTTGTCATAGCAGCAGCAGCAGCAGCTTTAGTAATTGCAGTAATAATGGAAGTAGCAGTTTTGGCAGCAACGATAGTAACAAATAAATAGTAGTAGCGATAGTAATATTAGCATTTGTAGTATTTATACATATAAAAATATGAAGAAAAGAAGATAGAGGGATGGATGAAAAGAAAGAAAAAATAGAGAAAAAAAATAAAAAGAGAGAAGAGAGAGAGAGAGAGAGAGAGAGAGGAAGTTATAAATAAAGAATGAAACCTTTGCCAAGGTTCAGATAACATTCTCAAAATATAATTAATATCGCATAACGAGTTTTTTTTTTTTATTATTCAATTGAGGTCTGTTTAGTCCTATCATATGTTTTGTTTCTTTTTGTTGTCGTCTTGTTTGGGGATTGTATTGTTGATTTTGATGATTTGTTTACTTTATTGTTCACTTTCTGTATTTATCTGCGTTTTTGTTGTTTAGAAATGTTTCGCTAGCATTCTTGTCGATCTGTTATAGTTTACGTGATTTTCTAATCCCTGTTAAAGATAGAATTTAACTCTCTTATTTATCCATTCCCATGTGAGAACTCTACCGCTCAATTTCAGTAAAGATTAGTTAATTAGTCAAGAAGACAATTAGAATTGTTCTGAGTTAAAAGTAAAAAATTTCTTCAATGTTCATATAGTCACCTTTGATGAACGTAGTAAGAGTTGATTTAGTTGTAGTAGTAGTTGTAGTGAATAGTAATAGTGGCCGTGGTATTAAAATTAGTTGTAGTTGCAGTATTACTAACAGCTTAGTATTCGAGGTATTAGTAAAAGCAGTAGTACTGCTAAAAAAGAACTAGCTGTAGTGAATAAGTAGTAGTAGTAGAAGTAGCAGCAGCAGTAGCAGTAGTAGTAGTAGTAGTTTGTAGTAGTATTAGTAGTAGTAGTTTGTAGTAGTATTAGTAGTAGCAGTATTAGCAAAAGTAGTAGTAGTAGTAGTAGCAGCAGTAGCAGCAGTAGCAGCAGTAGTAGTGGTAGTTGCAGATTCATCTTCTGTCTCTCTACTTTAATGATTTAGTTGATCCAGTGAAACGTGCCAATAGAAGCAGATTACGATTTGAAGTGATGGGGCAGGTCTTTTACATACGCACTGTACGGTGTGCTCCATCGAATCATCACACGTGATGATTTTTTTTAAATATATCCACTATAAATATTACTTTATATGTGCGTGTTAACACATTACTCTCTCTCTTTTTCTCATTTTTTTCTTCTTTTCTCTCTCTCTCTCTCTCTATGAATATTTTAAAGATTTATTTTTGCTTTTGCGTATGCCTGCTTGCGCTGATTAAGAAATACACAGGGACGTGATAATTTGAGTAGATGTGAGTGGATAAGTGTATGATACTATGCGATGAGTATAAACGTACAAAACTTAATTACTCTCTCTTTTCTCTCTCTCTTTCTCTCTCTCTCTCTCTCTCTTTCTCTCTCTCTCTTCTCTCTGGACATCGAAACGTAGTCCGTTTTCATTTTTATTATTTCAAATTTTATTTTCGCCGCTACCAGATTAGAAACGTTTTATAACTCTTGCAGACAATTCGATATTGATGTTCATTGTCTCCATGCTGCTAATTCTGGAAAACTTCCAGCAACTACTACTACTACTGTTACTACTACTACTACTACTACTACGACTACTACTACTACTACTACTACTACTACTACTACTACTACTACTACTACTACCACTACCACTACTACTACTACTACTACTACTACTACTACTACTACTACTACTACTACTACTACTACTACTACTACTACTACTACTGTTACTGTTACTACTACCCTTAATGCCGCTTACTACTACTACTAACTACTACTGCTGCAAGTACTACCAATACTACAAAAATTAAAAATTATTATATTAAACTTTTTAATAGCTGCTTGAAAAATGCGTAAAGCTGAAGCAACTATTAAAATCGATTCCAACCATAGATGTCCTACGGAGATTCGAATCCACGACTATCAGATCGAGCTAAGTATCCGTATTTCTATCGAACGGTTCCAAGCGAGACGGACTTCAACGTAGCGAGAGTTAAACTGCTGCGACAGTTTAACTGGAACAGGGTTGGGACGCTTTTTCAGGATGCTTCGAGTGGGATCGACAAGCATTCTTTGGTTAGTAGGCGTGGCTAGGTCATTGATTGATTGGTTTTAATTTGTGTTTGATTGCTGTCAACCAGTTTTAATAGCATTTTCAATACTTGTAAATTTTTTGATTTTAGATTGCTTAAAAATGAATTTGGTAATATACTCAATATGAATCTGTTTCGATATAAATTTTGTAACTGTCACACACAGATTCATAGCAACCTGACAGAGATGTTGGACCGGATGGACATTGAGAGGCAGACGGAAAGTTTTTCAACTGACCCAAGAACTGCACTTGAAAACCTTAAAGTCAGTTGAAATGATAATGGCGTTAAAGATTGATAAGATGATGCTGATGATTTGATTGTGATGATGATGCTATGTCGATGGCAAATGTGATTTGTATGGCGGTTAAGCGACCTCTTCAACATGTGCACTATATTTTTTACAATTTTTTATTTTACTCTAGGTAGTTTTTGGTTTTATTTTTTAATTTATTTTGTTTGTTTGTTTTCTTATCTTAAAGACAATCACTCAATATCCTGGGTTTCCTATGCTGTCAAAAATTTTTGTGAGGATTTGTTTTGAACTTTTATCAAAATTGCATTAGGATGAACACAATAAATGGTTTTTAAAAATTTATTTGTCATTTCAACTTTTTTTTCAACATTTTGCAACGTAACAACGTTTAACTGAAGAAGTTAACATTGTTTATTGTAAAGGTAAAAACTAACCTGGTGCTCTGGACCGCCTGCGCAATAGTTCACCTTTTCATAAAAAATTTGTTTAAATGTTAATAATAACATCCTAAATCAACTTTTATTAGGTAATTTATTGCTGTGAAATATAAAAAAGTTAACAGTTAACTTTAAAAAAACTTATTTATGTTATATAATTTAAATAATTTGACGAAAACATTGAGGCATAATTTAAAAATTGATTTTCAATTTTTCAAAAAATAAATGTCCCTGTCAAATCTTCTGAAGCACACGCCCATGCAATCATACAGACCCGCCCTACTACCTGCCAACATGCAACTAAACAACCAAATGAGAAAATATAAAAACAGACAACCAGACAAGTGAACAGACAGACAGAACGGAATGATAGAGAGGAGAACAAAATGACAGACAGAGGAGAACAGACAAAGAGGAACAGACAGAGGAACATACATTCAGACCGACAGGCAAAGCAGGCAGTTGATAACAGTGACAATAAACAACAATGATATAGAGCAGACGCTTTTAGAAGAGGAAAGCGAGACTGGCTACAGAACAATGAGATAAATGTTATCGCTAATTGAATGCATAATTAGCTCCCTCACTGTCCATTAATATACTGATTGTGCTTCTGCTTATCAGATAGCTCGTGTTTTAGTGGGCGTGCCTGATTAAATAAATGCAATAACGTTCAGCAACTATAATATCATTAGTGAAATATTCATTGTTATAAAACATTGTTGGTGATAAAGTATGTTAGGGTGTTGGAAGTTGGTTTGAGCCAAAACATTCAGTATAAATAGTAATAATACTAGTTGTAGTAGTAGTAAGAGTAGCTGTGGCGTTGGTAGTAGCGTTAAAGTAGCTGTGGCGTTGGTAGTAGCGTTAGTAGTTAGCAAAATCGTTAGCAACAGCGACGATGATAGTAGTGGTAGCAGCCATACTAACAGACATTGTAAAAAATATTTTGTAGCCTGCATGCTTTTGTCGACAAAACGATTCATAAGTTTTTGTTCCTCTCTCCTCCACACATTTTGCTTTTTATAGAAATTTTCAATTTTCAAGCAATTAAGCGTGAAATCCTGTTGAAACCCTCATTAAAATGGACGTGTTGGAGGCGGTTCTCATCCTTTGCTCGATCGAATGAGTTGCATCATTTCGTCGCTCGTTCATTTGTTCCATTTCACCATGTTCCATTTGATAATATGTGCATATGCTTATTAATTTTTTCTGGCTCGTACGATTTATGTATCTGAATTGAGAAATATTGAGCTTTTGAAAATATTGAGAATAATATTTACATGAGTAATGTGAAGAAACGTGATGAGTCTGACAGGATCGATCAGTTGAAAGCAATTAACGTTGGAACTGTACCAGATTTGATCGTCAACGAATCTTCCTGGCGGGAGTTTGCCCGCATCAGGGCATAAAAATTCGGTAGCAACAACAATTCAGCTGATGTCGAGCCATCATCAACCTGAATTGGAAGAGGATGTCGTGAAACATTCTCAAGTCATCAAACTCCGTGCAGTGCAGGGAGTGCAATCCCATTCTACAAAATCCAAACCGGGCACGCAAAAATTATATTAAAAATGGAAAATATATTCAAACAGGTGAAAACAACTATCACTTCTGTACACAACATAGGCATATGCAATTGAAGTTTAATTTGTAAGTTTCGTTGTGCTTTTGAAGCAAGTTGTTTCGTGGTTGTTTAAAAGAGTGACGGAGCCTCTGTCATCTGAGCTACCGTATCCGCTGCGAGCCAAGTCAAAATATTATTACTACACTGAGATGCAACGCCAGCAACATTGACACACTTTTTCTATTGCACGAATTTTATAACCATTAAAGTTAGGCGAACAAACAAAAAGGAGAAAGTTGTATAGGGAATTCATAGGTTATTATAATAATTTAAAACGTTTCTACCGCCAACAAACTGCTACATCACACAGTGCAAAACTTTCACTTTTTTACTGAATTACAATTAAATGGTACGGCAATTTGTAGAAACCATTTTTACAGAGCACATCCACTTTCCATTCAATGGAATGAAATTAAAATAGATAAAAAGTATTAAAATGAATAAAAAAATATTTAAAAGTTTTGAACATTTAAAAGTAAAATAATTGCTCAGAACGAATTGTGTAGAAGACAAATGTTTCCATGCTGTTTCATTCTTGCTGCTTGCAAACAAAAAAAAAATTACAAAAATGTTTAAAAAGTTTGAAAAGTACTTGGAAGACCAAAAAGTAAGAATTAATTTCAATTTTCAATTTAAAACTTTTTTCAATTCGGAAGGTTTGTTTCGAAAGAAAAAATTTTGAAAAAAAAATGATTTTTTTTACATGATATACTAAATTAAACGACGAATTAATTCGAACGAAGCATTGAAGAAATGACGAGTCAATTGATGAAGTGCATTGAAAAAGAACGTTGTGTGCTTAGAAGAAACTGTGTGTGCGCGTGTGTGTGTGTGTGTGCGTGCGCGTGTGTGTGTGTGTGTGGCCGAGATAATGCTCAATTTGCAGCCAAAGCATACATCACTCAATATGTGCAAGAGCCGCTCGACGTTATTGAATTTGTATCACAGTTGCCACGAAATTATTCCTCAGCGTTTCAAAAAAAAAATAATTAAAAGGTTTGTAATATGAAATTAAATAGAGATTGATTGGTTGATTGATTGATTGGTTGATTGGTTAGTTGGTTGGTTGATCGGCTGATTGGATGGTTGATTGGTTGATTGATTGGTTGGCTGGTTGATAGGTTGATTAATTGGTTTGTTGGTTGATTGATTGATTGGTTGGCTGGTTGGTTGATAGGTTAATTGGTTGGCTGGTTAATTGATTGATTGGTTGGTTGGATGGATAGTTGGATGGATGGCTGATGAACGGAGATATATATTTAAGCATTCAATTAACCCATTACTAAATAAATAGCTATGTTCACAAATAAATGTTATAGAATGATACTTTTTCAGATCATAATTTTTAATTTATTCATTATACATGGCATGGCAGCAGTACAATGCATAACAAACTTCGAATTATATCAGGACCATCCATCCATCAAAGCTCTCAGTTGAGGTTGCCAATTTCAAAACATGCGCTCATCTCGCAAAGTAAAAGCAAAAATAATGAAAAAAAACATTTTTTTTAAAGTTACTACTCAATTGCTCAACTATTTTTCATCCGATTTTAAACTACTGAAAAAAAAATTCTATTTTTTTCAAGCCACAAATGTATTGCAGACCCTTTTACTATGTTGATAGCTAGACGAGGTAGATAACGCGTACAAATTTATTTAAATTTTACAGAGCTAAACATCTTTTTTATGTAACGCCTGCGGTTCTACATCAATTACAAAATTGATTTCAAATAATAATAATTAAATAACGTTAATTATTAATTCTCTTTTACTCACTTTTTTCTCTCTTACTATTCATCCATTTCTCTCTTTCTATAAGTGTTTGTTTATGTGCGTGTGCGTGCGTGCGTGTGCGATGTTTCTCTTTTCATGGTACCTGGACGTGCCAAAGTATGTAGCATTAAATCCATGGAAAGTGTGTTCTTAATTTCTTTTTTTTTCAATCACACACCGGCATGCGAGCATTTTTGGATGGAACGTTGGATGGAAATTTACGCGCATCATAGACACACCAGATACCGTACACAAACGCACACGCACATACACACACACACATAAACAAACACAAACACACACAAACATATGTACTCATTCATTTAGTCATATACACATGCATCCATAGATTTGATGTAAGTGTACAGTTGAAAAAACGCATGTTTTGAAAAAATTGTAGAAAATTCAAGGAAGTAATGCAAACGAGCTGTGTGAAAGCATGCCATCAATTGTGGACAATTTTTTGAATCTGTTGTACTATTTAACTGCTAAAGTTTCAGTCAAACTTGAAGGCAGTGTCATAAGTTTTTACGGGAAATTTTTTTATCAAAAGTTGGATAAAAAAAGATATTACATAAGCATGTCTTGGAAGTAGTTGTTAGGAGAATGTCAGGCAGATGTTGCTAATGAGGCAAACATGTTGGAGGAACGTGCAAAAGTTTCATATGACTCGCCGTGCAAATTGTCTGCCCACACTCGCAAACAACTTGCGAATAAAAACACCAGTGCCCAGCGTAGAAATTAATGAACATGATTTAAACGAAGAAAAACTAAGGTAGCGAGCATTCTGGCATGGAGCACGTACAAAAAACTATCAAAACAGTGAATCGTTAAACGTGCCGGGAAGATGCGTGTGTGTGTGTTCGTGTGTGTGTTCGTGTGCGTGCGTGTGTATGACTATATGTGTGGTATGTGTGTGGGCTTAAGTCGCTCGTTTAATGCATTAAGCCACTTTTAATTGACATCTTAGTCTGTTGCATTGGCAATCGGAAGCATTCAACAAAATTGAATTTGTTTAACTGCACCGCTACATCTTACAGATTGTATATATTTTTTTTATTTGCGTCATATGACTATTAATAAATGCTGGGTAACGTTTAAATGAAATTGCTAAATAATGATACTTATAGACAAGTATTCTCTCCCCTGTTCAACATATTTCAAAATCTAGACTCTAAAATTTTGTGTTGGTAACCTGCTTCAAAAAAAATTTTGAAAGAGCTACTCCGAATCATAAAAGTTAGCAGACACTATACCAATTAATGTTTATACTTTCAGAAAATAATCCAACTTTTGCATGGCGTCCAATAACGGTACGGCCCATATTTCCAAAAATTTCCCCTGGAATTACACCCTGATGAATTGAAGATCATCATTTTAAAATTAATCTTACTTCAGTTTTGCTTACATGTAACTAATATATTATTATTTTAATGAGCATTGGTCCTTAATGCAGTTTCAAGATATAAATAACCAAACGAGGATTTTACGACATTTTAAACAATTTTTGAAGTCTCAAACTAAACCTCGCCTTGCCAACAGTGACTTTTTTTACCAGAGAATTTATTAGGCGCTCGGTGTTTTAGAGATTTTTTGGCTGAACTTTCAAATGCTGAGTAGTTATTTGACTAGTGCAACGCGATCTAGAATGATGTTTTATTATTTGCTAAGCATTTTTCGAGTGAGTCATTTGGTTCATTTTAAAAATCGTTTGATCTTTTAATTTTCGATTATATTTCTACTCTGAAATATTAACAATTAAGTTGAAAATGAGATTTACCTTGAAAATTTTTCCAGTTCTAATTTATTTTCTTTTTTAGGTTCAAACAAACAAAAAAAAATCCGTTCCGTTATGAGTATTACATTCAATCGCGTCTTTTTGTATCTTAAATTTAGTTTAAAAAAAACGATTTCATCTGTGAATTTTTGAGTTTGAAACGTTTTGAATAAAAACATGCAAATAAAAGCAAGCAAGCATCCACACATTACGTAATAATGATGATGAACGCTCTGATGATTGTGGCGCTAATCAAATCAAATATGAATATTTTCAATTAAGTCCAGATACTATTATTCAGCATTAATTTTCAGAATTTTTAAAATATATAAATATAAGTGTAAATATTTAAAGTAGAACATCACATGACAACATTAAAAATTCTAAAATTCTAACACAGAAAGACAAAAAAAAGAGAAAAAAAATGTATTTCTAGTAGTATATCGTCTCCTATTTAATTTATTTTCCATATAACAAGATTAATTTTTCACTCAATTTTTAACTTTTCCTGGAAAAATTTTCTCCCACGAATGAAATGTTGGTGATGTTTAAATTGCCACGTGCAACAAATGGGCAGAATAATTTAAGTGACAAGTTCATCAATCTCTCCGTCAGGTTTTGCAGCTTTGAAAAATTCTTAACTTTTGCACTGGTGGACGGTGTCAATGTAAGCTTCCATGTCTAGGTTCTGTGCGTGGTCAAGGTTGTGGTGGTTGTGGTTGATAGATTAGGATCTCCACATTTTCAAACCGATTGTTTGTTCTGAATTGTAATTTTTTAAGATGTTATAAAATATATTTTTCGGCCAAAATTATGACTGTTTATATATTTTCCATGATTAGAAAAGCTTAATAATACAACATATTTGAAAATGACATTTCAAAATTACTATTTGACGAACTTTTTCATCTTTAGATTGTAAATTTGTCGTTCCATCCTAACAACATTAACTCCCATCTTTTCAATATTTTCAAATAAACAACACAGAGACACATCTCTAACCATATGACTCACATCGTCCATTTTTAATGCATCGGTTGGCTTTACCTGCGTTCTAGTCTCTTAGAAGCCATCAGTCGTAGGTGCAAACAAGTGATCGGTTAACATTCATTCCCGGTTTTTTTTCAAACCTTGTCAAAGGAGGATGTAAAAACTAACGAATTGAATTACGCATTGACTTGCTGCCTCAGAGACAGACATATTGAAATTAAAAATGAAATTATTCAATACCCGCAAACGTTCATAGTTGTCGTGTGGTTGCTGTGTATTTATTGTTATTATTATATTTATTATTATTATTATTATTATTATTGCTGCTGTTGTTGTTGTTGTTTCTTGAAGGAGAAAGATGTTAGAATCATTCTCGGTGACTTCAACGAAACCATGGCTCGACTTGTTTTCTGCTACGTGAGTCATCATCTTCATCATCATCATCCTCCTCACCACTTCATCGTCATCATTACCAATATTATCATTGTCATCATCGTTATTGTCATCGTCGTCGTCATCTTCATCATCATCGAAATCATCATCGCCATTTTTATCATCATAATCATCGGTTATAAAATAATTTGACTTGCATTGCTTTTGGATAAAAAAAATCTTTTAAAATATCCACAAGCACACACATCCAAATAAATAAATGCTGACAATTCCACACCCATCCAACAAACACATTCAAGTGCACAACGACAAACACACACACACACGCACGCAAACGTGCACAGACACTCACGCAAATACACACACACACACACAAATCTACCTTTAAGCAACATCGTACAAACACACATAGACGTAGACAAACTTACATAGACCTACACAGGCGTTCAAAAACACATAGAAACAGACAAACACACAACAGCCCATAACTCTTGCGCAGGCTCACAAGCTTAATATGTACGGCTCAAAGCATGTCTGGTTGCTAGGCAGTACTTATCAATCCAGTTGGTGGTGGTCTGATGCACCGTGGCATTCCTCAATCATTACGTCATCAAAAGATCCTATAAACAAAATTATTAATAACATTAATGGTAGTCAACAACAGCAGCAACAACTACTACTTCGTAACGACGATGAAGCAGATGTCGTTGCGTGTGACTTTCGCGCCATGAACTTGGTCGTGCAAAATGTTATAAATACGGATTTTACGGAGCTTTCTACGGATCACAATGCCATCACTGTTTCCGGTTTGGTTAGCTTTGATGATGACGATGATCGTGATAATGTTGATATTAACAATTAGGATTATAGCGATTATGTTGATGATAACGATGAAACAAAAATATGGAAGTGGTGATGATGATGTTGATGACGACGATGTTGATGATGCTTATGATGATGATGCTGACGAAGACACGTTGGAAATATTTAACATTAATAACTGTTAACAAACAACAGACAGCTAAAAAGTATTACTCAGATTACCTAGAACAGTTGAAGCAACAGCAAGCACATTTCAACCAGCAACAACAACAACAGCAGCAACAACAACAACAACATCAACGACCGCAACAACAACAACAACATTTTAACATTCATCAAACTAAATTCAAAAATAATTCTCGCTCCCGCTACAAACGACAAACGTATAATCAGAAAGAATTTCAACAACGACTACACCATCAACAACAGCATCAACAACAGCATCAACAACAACTGCCACAACATCAACCACAAAATCGGTTGCAACATCAACGACAACATCAACAACTACCACAACATCAACCGCAAAATCAACAACAATATTGGCAACAACAAAAACATACAAATCAACAACAACAACAACAGCGACATTACCCACGATTACAACCTCATCGTCAACAATACAAACTCCAGGAACAACAACAACAACAAAAACCAGCCAACCGACTTCATGGTTATGCCTACGACGGTATATGGGCTATAGCCCTTGCTATAAACAACCACATCAGAAACCGAAACGTAAACTTTTCGGACCAAAAATTATTTCGGACCCAGGATTTTAGGGACGAAATGGATAGGATCGATTTTATTGGCGTTACGGTCAGTGTAGCAGATTTTATCATCGTTGGTGAACTATGACGTCATCATTGTTTTCGTCATCATCTTCATCGTTATTAACATTTCATAATCACTATAATCATTATCGTCATAAAAATTCTCATTATCATCCCCGTCATTATCAAGTGGTCTAATATCATCACCACCATCGTCATCGTCAACATTATCATCATCATCCTCGTCAGGGTCGTGTCAAGTTCAGGTCGGGTGAACGGATTGGAACTGTGACCTTGACCCAGATTCAAGGTCATCTTAATGTTTGATTTTAAATAAAGCTACACGTATATGACATGTTACGTTACATATTCTCTGATTGGTATGTGTTTGTAAGTGCATTTTAAGCCATTATTTGGAATAATGTATAATTGTATGAGTTGGATGTTTGTATACATGCTTGTATACATGTTTGTATGCATATTTGTTTGCTGTTCATACCTGTTTTTTAATGTTTGTAGTTGTAATTGATGTTCATACATGTTTAATTGGCGTTCACATATGTCTTTTAATGTACATTCATGTTTTTTATGTTTATTTTATTTTTTTTTCAATGTCTGTGTGATGTGATTGTTATGTGTTTCTACTGCTTCATGCCAGTTTTGGTTCACACATGTGCTTGCTTACCAACTTTAAACTGTTTGCTGATATGTTTGGACGCATTAACCGTCTTGTGAAATAATGTTTGTTTGTTCGTTCGTTTGTTTGTTGGTTCTTTCGATTGTTCGTTTGTTCTTTCGTACATTTGTTCGCTTTTTTGTTTTGCCTATTCCACATGAATTAAATTTTAGCAAAAAAATTTAAAATCTTAAAAACTTCACGGGATTTTATCGTACCATCATCATTATTTATTTTGTTACACGTTTATTTTTTACTGTATAACATAAAACATAAATAGGAAACAATATCAAAAAATAGAGAAAATAAAACAATAAAAAATGTAACCCAAAAAAAATCTAAAAAGTTATTAAAAAACCTCAGGTCGGAACATCGTCCATGTTGGTCATGTAGACATCCTCAATGACCAATTGAAACTCAATGGTCATCTAATGTGGCATGGTAAGATGATGATGATGGTGGTGGTGATGATGGTGATGATGATGATGGTGGTGATGATGATAATGATATTGTTGATGATGATGATGATGTTGGTGATGATGATGATAATGATATTGTTGATGATGATGATGATAGTGATGATGATGATGATAATGATGATGGTGATGATGATGATGATCTACATACACCGTGTGCGTCCGCAGTTGATACCCTCCCCAGCAAAACTGGAACAAGTTGTAAAAAAAATTTTTATTCAAATAATATTATCAATAATATTGATATTGATATTAATAATAATTAATAATAAAGTAATAATAATAATATAAATGTTAATAATTAATATTGATAGAAATTATAACAGCAAGGAAATAATTTAAACGATGATAGGATTAATAATGATAATAATAAATATTTTTATCGTCGCAGTTATTAAAATTATTATTATTATTATTATTGATATTATTGTTATTATTATTATTATTATTTAACGGCAAGCGAAGATATTAGCAATCGTGAAATTTGAAAAAGTAAAAACCTGCTAGGATCCGTGTAGCCAGATGTTTCAGAAATATTAATGATGATGATGATGATGGTGATGATAATGTTGATGAGGATGATGATGAAGATAATAATAATCCGATGATGGTGATGACGACAATGATGATGAGAAAGTTGATGATGACGATGATGATGAAAATGATGATGATGATGATGATGATGATGATGATGAGAAAGTTGATGACGATGATGATGATAATGATGATAATGATGACGATAATGGTGAAAATAAAACGTACGACGTCATTCGTTTTGGAGAAAATGGTGATGATGATGACGTCACTTACGTGAACGCTCATAATAACGACGCTTCTAATGACGATCGTGATAATGAGAATGGTGAAAAATGACTACCGCGATGATGATGACGACGACGACGAAGATGATGACACAAATGAAAACATAACGTTGATGACGTCAATAACATGAGGACGGTATTGCTTATTGATAGCTGCAGCAGTTGAAACAACATGCAATAAATAACGACACATTAGTCATAAAATCTACTGAGTTTATCTATAAAAGCCGGTGTGCGGTTCTGGATGGATTAAAACTTACACATACACATTAGACATACAACACGTTAAATGATCACGAAACATTTAGCAATCTTAACTTTCTTACTCCACACTTACCAGATTCGATTCCACCTAAAGACAGATCGCACATAACGATGAAGCTGCAGTCAATATCGACCACCGTGTACGCTTGCGTGTGCGTTTTAGTGGCCGCGGGTGTCCTGCTGAGTATCGCCTTTTTCACCCTCAATGTCAGATATAAGAGTCACGTGTTAGTGGCGATGGTGGTGTGTTTGTGGTGGTAGTTGTGGTGAGGTTTTGTTGTGGCGGTTAGGCTGGCTGGTTCTGCAAAAATAAAACTGAAAGATACTTTATCAAACTTGTGGGTGCCCATTCCATGAAAAAAATTTGGCTTTCCGTTAAACATAAAAGTTGGCAATAATTCAACTCTTTCTTTTTATTTCTTTTTTTTGTTCTTTCTCCTTTCTCTGTTTTTTTTCTTCCCTCTTTTTCTTTCACTTTCTCTCTCTTTCTTTCTTATTATCAAGTGTGCGTATGTGTGGTAAGTGTGTATGTGTGTGTGTTTGTATGTGGTTAGTGTGTTATGTGTGTGTTTGTGTGGTAAGTGTATATGCACGTGTATGTGTGTGTGTGTTTGTGCGTGTGTGTGCGTGCGCGTACATTTTAATTGCATCCCCAGTTACATAAAGATGTCAAGCCCGAACATGAATAACCTGATTTTGATTGGCTGCCTCCTGACCTACATAAGTGTCTTCATTCAGGGTTTGGACACCAAGAGCGTAGGAGTTGACCTATTTTCATTCGTCTGCTCGGTGAGATTTTAATTATTTTCATTCCATTTCCATTATTGGCCATTATGACCGTCATTCAAGACGATGACGCTGATTACATGATGATGACATGACGTTAACCTTATTATTGCTCTTGATGAAGATGACGACGACGACGATAATGATGATGATGATGACAGGTGATTATTTCAACTTTCTAAAACACAAAGATACATAAAACACGTTCAAAAATTTACTAAAAACTAAAAAGAAAACTCATAAGAAAGAGAAAATAAAACAGAAAAAAAAAACCAGAAATAACGGCTTTCGCTATGAGCTAGAGTAATAATTGTAGAGGTGGTTTCGCGATGCCTTTCATGCTTGTCCCACTAATTATATCATTCGCGTGTGTGCACAGCGCAGTACAGAACAGTACAGACAGTACCCAGTGCTGTCACGTACGTTGTGTGTGAAACATGCAAGAGGGAAAGATTTTTTTGATGCTATAAAACAATATAAACTCTCTGTTGTGTTTTTTTGAATTGAAAATATGTATAGTTGTGTTATTTGTGTAACTGTGGGTGTGGAATCTGTACAATATTTAGGTTTGTTATATATATGCGATTGTGTGTCATTTAAATAATTGTGTTGTATAACTTTATGTTTTACGTATTGGTTGGTTCTAATTTTTTAATGTTGTTTGGTTGAAAGTTTTGAAAAAATTTGATGAAAACGTATTTTTTGATATTAAAATTTCGAAAATTAATGCTTTGTTTTGCGAATAAGTTTATCAAAATAATTATAAAACTGCGAATAAAAAATGATTTAGTTAGCCAAACGCATGCAGACTGCACCAAAAAACATTTGACCATGTTTCATTCACCTTTCAGAGACAAAAAAAAATGTTCGAGGCAAAAATATTTCGTGACAAAAAAAAAGTTTCAAATAAAATGTACAATACATTTATTGTCATCTCACGAGGAAAAATATTGAAATCGGATATAGGCGAGCAAGGATTTTTTTCAAATTGTTAACGTAACCTGCTAAATATGTACAAATGGAAACGTCTAAGAGGGCATGTGTTCATATTTACATGTTCCGTGTGTGTGTGTGTGTGAGTGTGTGTGTGTGTGTGTGTGTGTGTGTGTGTGGTGTGTGTGTACGACGATCAGTTGAGTAAATAAAACGTACACGCACGTATTTGACGAAGCTGTACAACTCGTGTACTCAAATTTGTGCCTGCATACATATGATGAAACACAAATATCATTAGATGCATGCAGGCATTTATACACAGTGCACGCATACATACACACTTTTATTTACACACATAAACACAAATAAACACATAGAAGTATTTGGTAGGTGCACATCAAGCAGAATTTTTTAGGCTTGCAACTGAGATATGCCCATCTGTAAAGAGGATGGTGATCTTGATAACAGTGATGACGATTACGAAAATGATGACGACGATGATGGCATACCGACTACCTTTCACATACTGTTCAATTTTTTGTAGTTAAACTTTCGCGCCAAAAAGACAACCCACGCCACTTGACGTATGTAAAAATTTTCACTTCATCGTACACGCACGGAATATGATATTCCTTAAATTTCAGCTTGTTGGTATTCGAACCAGGTCAGCGCGTGACAACAACGACGCGAGACGTAGCACTTCTACCGACTGAGCTAACATGGATGACCATAATAATGATGTTGACACTAACAATAACAATTGGAAGATTATTAATAATAATTAAAATAATAACAAAAATAATAATAATAATAACAGTTGAAAATGTGGGCGTTTTCACTTGGATTCACCCTATCATTTGGCGCCATGTTCAGTAAGACGTGGAGAGTTCACGTCATATTCACAAACATAGAAATGAACAAAAAGGTTATTATTATTATTATTATTATTGCTATTATTTATTTTTTCTTTCATCATCACCTTCAATTTCATCATCAAAGCCGCTTCTTCTATAATTAATATCATCATTTCTCTCTCATAAGCATCGTCGTCATCGCCACCATTCCAATCAGCGTCATCATCGTCATAATCATCATTATATTCAATCACAATCAGCCCTATTCTTGCCATTACTCCATCATCATCATCATCATCGGTCATCATCATCATCATCACCGTTTATCATCGTTCATCACTATCATCATCATCATCATCATCATCATGCCAGGCAATAAAAGACATCCAACTAGTCCTGATAGTGATCCTCCTAACCCTGATTGACCTGGCCATCCTGATGTCGTGGCAGATCGTCGATCCTCCTTTTGTGCAGTCGAAAAACATCACGGCCACGGTAGCGCTAATTCAACTATCGTTTCATAATTGTTCACCAACATCGTCACCTAATTCTACGTTTGCTAGTTCATATTAATGTCATCATCGTCGTTGTCGTCATCATCTTTATAATCTTTTTGTAAACTGTTTTATCCCCATTTTTGTATTCGAAACCGGTGACAGCGACATAAGACAAGGCACCTTTAACCATTAGGCTATCACGCCGCCATTTAAATAATTGTTACGTAAATGTTCGCCAGCACGAAGTAACGAAGGAGACGGACAGTGACGTCATCGTATACATTGAGTATTGCTTCAGCCACCACATGAACACATTCCTCATCGTCGTCTACCTTTATAAAGGGCTTCTTCTGGTTAGTCAGACTCATTCAAATTTATATTCTATTCATTGTAATACCAGCTGACTCGGCGGGCTTCAAAACCCTTAGAAATAGTGATTGATATACTCTTGAAAAAAGAGTTTCATTAAATTGAATTAAAAGAAACAGAAAACGAAATAGCAAACATTTTATTTACAGCTGAAAACACTAATTAACATTTAAAAGTCTTTAATCACAAAAATTCTGATCAATTTTTCAGTTTCAAAATCTATCATAAATTTCTTCTTCGCCATATCAAACCGGCCTATGGCGAAGCAAGTTAATAGCTTGTCCACGTTATCTGCCGTATCCAAAAACATTTACATACAAAATGTTAGAGAAGTAAATTTTCAGCCTTGAAATCTATCAAAACTTTTTCCTTCCTCCAACGATTGCACAACAATGAAGTTATCCATCAAACCTTTTACAGGCTGTCGGTTGTTTTCTGGCCTGGGAGACGAGAAATGTAACGATACCGGCTCTCAACGATTCGAAATATATCGGTATGAGTGTCTACATTGTTGTCATAACCTGTATATCCGGTTCGTTTCAAATTATATTGTTCTCTATGTTTTGCCTTTTATGAACTCTTAAATTTGTAATTGATGTTCACAAATAGCTAATACGTATTTTGTTGTTAATATGCTATGGCATACTGTGATGTGTAGGCTCATTTTCGACTTATTGATATTTATGTGGATCATTTTGAGTTATCATTTTTTTACAAACTATTTAATTTGCTTTTCTTTAATTATAACCGTGCAACACTTTGAATACTTTCTTCATTGGATAGGTGAAATTAATTTTTTTCATACATTTGTACGTTACAAAATTGAAATGAATGAATGTAAAAAAATTAGCCGAAATAATATTATTTCAACTTTAATAGATCACATTAATATGTTTTATTATGTAACGTTACTTTATGTCGTGTTAACATTAACATTACATTACATAACACTACATTACATTACATCACGTCACATTACATTACTAACCAACGAACAAATTCCAAATTAATCCCAACAACGCCACAAAATGACATACAACACACCAAGGAGTCCCAGTATCTTTCCTGGTAAGTGACAAACCAGACGCCACCTACCTCATCGTCTCCATGTTCGTTCTATTCAGCACCACTGTAACTCTATGTTTAGTCTTTGGTCCTAAGGTAAGCAAACGGAAGCGGAAGCGGTAACGCCATTTTTTTATGAGTCTGCCATTACGATTTATTTTATTATCAATAAGATGAAGATCGTTAAATTTATGAAATATACAGTGGTAAATGTAAATTGATGAAAAATATGAAAATGATATTTTCTTTTAAATAAATAGTTTTTATAATACGATAAAGTTGTTTGACGTCGAAAGTGGCTCAAAACCATTATTTAAAAAAATTTACTTTGTCGAATTTTATAAATTAGTGCGCACCAACGATACTTTTAAACAAGTTAAACAATATCTAAACAATAAATCAACAGAACAAACATAAAATCAGCACCAACATATACAATCCCTTGCATAAAACACATGAAGACATAAACATAAACAATGCCAATAGACATAAAAAAGTTAAATAAACATAAAATAGAACGAAACGAAATTTTATTTGCTTCTCAAAATTGAAAATTAAAAGCAAGTTGAAACATGCATGAACACAGTTTCAAACGTTGAAACATGAATGAACACAGTTTCAAACATTAACAGTTTGTAGAGATAAGACGAGACCCGAACGGCTCGAAGAGGAGAATCATCAAGTCAATCCGGAAGATAGTGAGGACCAACTCGGTCGGAGATTCATACAAAATGCAGACCATCAACAAACTTCTGATCGAAAACAGGCACTACAAAGAAAAGCTGGAGTTGGTTTGTAGTCTGTCTGTACAAGTGATTCTTTAGAAAATTTTGTAATCCGTGTTTGCGAAATAAGATTATAATTTGACGAATTATGAATAGCTAAAAAATATTGGGAAAAATCTTATTTAAAATTTAATGGAAAACCGTTTGTTATGGAAAGATTGGTAGAAATACCACAGGTAGAAAGTAGCGCCAGGAGGTCAAAATCGCTGCCACTGTCGCTATCGCCAGCATTTTTGATATCGTTTTTGTAGTTATTTGATGTCTCTATTTAAACGTGAATATGAAATTGTTTGTTCGATGCCTATCTTCTTTATGTTTTATATTTTACTAAATGTTTTTTAAATGAAAAGAGTATGGTAAAATTATTTTTTCCTAATTAGAAGAGGTGAGAAGGGAATTTATTTCAGCTTTAAAAATAAAGCTGATACCTTCCCACACTGTTTAACGAAAGGGATGGCGATACCGCTGTGAGTTCCGGTGGTAAACAAAAAACTATTTGTAAATCTCTTTATTAAAATTTGTATAAAAACCGTCCAAACAGCAAAACAAAGAGATGAAAAAACTTGAATGTCACATAGGAAGGTCATCGTCATCGTCAACGCCGATCACTGATGAGCCACTCTCATCTATTTCAAGTGAACTTAGGCAGTCTAAACGTCTGTATCAGTACGCGCGCGCGCGCGTGTGTGTATATATATACATGTGTGTGTTTGTGTGCTGATCTGTGTGTGTGTTTCTTTTGTGTCTCCGCCTGCGAGTTTGTGTGCGTGTGTGTGTGTGTGTGTGTAAAAACTTGATAAATAATATACAAACACTTATACACAATAAAATATTGATTTCTTGCAAGCAGCAGACACGCATATTGTGGTATATAAATTTGGATATGTTACTGTCGACAATTATAATTTGTTCTTCAAATAAATATAATCGCTGTTTCTTACGTAACGATTTGATGTAGCTATTTGGGCATTAGAATATTATTTGTTCAGTTGATACCTAACTACTTAACTACTTATTTTTACCTTCAAAACATTACAATTTTTTCCATTTATACTTTCAACCCCCACTTCTTAAACAGCACCGGAGCATTCGGACGAATCAACATCCCATCGTCCTTACTCGAAAACGGCAAAACATCGGCGGAGAAGTAGCAGCAGTTGCAGAAGTAGGAAGGACACAACAACCTGCTCCATTTTAATTGAATATTCGCATGAAGGTAACAACGAGTTCGACGGTGTCGGTGATGCCAACAATGAGGACAGCGGTAGAAAGGAGGTCGATGACAACAAACATGAAAAGCAGAGAGTGAAAAATGGAGTGACTTTCGACGAGGAAAACATAAGGCGGAAGAGTAGTGAACTACGACGAGATGAGAGCCAGCCGATTCGTTCGGAACTAGATAAAAATAAGTTTCAACACGAAAAAGAAGAACTGAAAGAACACAAAAATGTTAAAAACATGAAGCTTCCCCACTCTCGACATAATAAACATCACGAACATCTACAGCGAGGAGTACGAAACGAAGAAGATGACGCCCAACGCCGACAGCTGATGTTCGTCGAGCGAAAACGACACAACTACGAAAATTATAACTGTCACAACATCATTAGCAAAAACAACCTCAAAGACAACTGCCTCGTCCACAACCGCAAAAACAATATTCCCAATTACAGTGATGACAATAACAACATCAACTTCATCCAAAGCTCAAATGTTCTTTATGACAACATCAGCTCAAACGAAGATAAACTCTACGATGTAAGTGGAAACAACAGCATCACAAATTCATCTTCCGATTTTGAACTGGTCACAGAACTAAACAGCGATGAACTGAAAAGTCTGATAAACAAAACAAACAAGTAACAAAAATAAAGCATTCATTATATTTAAATCCAAATATATTCACTTTTGATTTAATTGAAAACATTTCTTACTATTTCTTTCTACAGAAATTATTCCACATTAGTTCAAACACCTTCCTACCAAGGACTCAAGTTTCTGGCAGAACTTCAGTTGAAAGAAACCGATATAATATCCGATATTGTATCCGACGACTACGAATCCTGCCAATCCCATCCATCTTTTTAAATTTCATTTTGGCATTTTTATTACATCCCAGAAAACTACCGTTTTCACACACACACACCACACACACACCACACACACACACACACACACACTGGACGTGGACAGGTATCGAAATTTGGAAATCGTTGAAATGTTCTTATGAGCTTCTTAGTATAGAGATAATAATACCATATTTTCAAACGTGTGTGATATACTATGGAACCAATTAAATTTTAATACAATATTAACATCAGCGATCTACCTTATTAACACATAATTGTGGTACCGACCGCGCATTATCCATTTTGGAAACAAAACTTATGTAAGTGCTGCGTATGCTCAAATCTATTTATTTGCTTGAAAGACGAAATAACAACTTTCCAAGTTCTTTTAAAACGATGTTTTCAAGCAAAAACATTATTTTTTTAAGTTCTACGTGTTATTTTTACGTTTGTTTGCATTATTCAGCAAATTCTTGAAATAACTCTGGTGTAATGTTCGTCATGACCATATATGTGTATTGTAATTAATTAAGGCTTTGATTACTTTCATCTTCAACTATTATTCAAATTGTCTACAGTTTTTCCAATTTACTTTAAATTTTCTGAATGCACTGATTTCACTTCCGAAATGAACACATTAATATTACGATTCTTTCAGCTTTGCCCGTTTACTACCTTTTAGACTGCCGCGTTTTACTCACCGCAAGTATAACTCAATCTCTACAACAATATTCCATGAGCTAGTCAAAGTACATTCAGGATCAGTATTTTATACCCAGATATATAGAGTCTAATTAAGATGGCTAGATTATTGAATTATGATGCTACGCTCAATATTTTTCTAATAAATTGATAATTTTTATTTTGATTTTGTTGTTAGATATGATATTACAATAATTAAAATGTAAAGCCATATTTCTCCACAAATAAACGCTGTAAAATATGTGTAAAGAATTTTTTTGTCGAAAAATGTGGAAAATAAATAGATCATTTTGTCCAAAAAGCATGTTACAAAAAAAACGAAAACCCATCCAATGAAAAAGTAATTATTGAAACAGAAACTAGGGAATAGTTACAACCATAAGGTATTACAACTATTAACATTTCACGCTATCAACTTTCTACTGATGGCATTTCAATTTACTTTGACTAGATAAAAAAAATTTTTTACTACAAGCATTGCGCACAAACAATCACAGTTTTTAATGAACAAAAAAGTTTAATTTCCTCTACAACAATTAAGATGTGCAGAATTGGCGTTGATAAAATTTTCATGTTAAACGCATAACTTGTCATTGTTTATTTTGAAAAAGTCATGTATATAAATATAAATATATAAATATATATATATACATATACATATATATATATTATATATATGAATGTTATATCCATGGAAAAAGCTAGAGATTTATGCAGGCAATCAACAAAGTTACAAAGTTCCTAAGTAATTAAAGATTAAAATAATAAATGAAAATGAAATGTTCGCAGACAAAAGAAGCAATCCGTTATTCACTTTTTAGGATTTTTCTTTTTACACAATAACGACCAGTTCTTTGCATACTCCTTTCTCCTCTGAAATTTGGACACTGGCTCTGAAATGTTTCTGTCGGCTGCACTTTCATTTATTCTATCAGACCTACTTGAAGTTTTGTTATTTTTGGAAAGATTGCTACTATCCCTTCTATCAAGATGATCTGCTGTTGTTTGAAGTAAATTTTCATTGCCGGTTGTTTCTGCTGTGTCATCTGGCAACCATGACTCCAAGTTATGTGCATTAATAGAGAGTTGTTGTCTGTTATTATTTGAGAACTTTGTTTCATCACCGAACTTTTTATTGCCGGTCAAGATTTGTTTGTTCAGATTGGATGATGTAATTGGAGGTTTAACATTTCTGCTTCTTGCATCATCAAAGTACTCATCTTCTGGAATATTAGCAATGGCATGCGATGAAAACTTACTTGCCTGACTCGATTTGGAAACGACATTTAGGCGAGGGAAACAATTTAACAGCTTGTAAGATGATTTGTGGGTAGCTGATGAGCCAGTAGAACGATTACTACAGCCTGCATTGTTGTCCTTTGAGTTGCAGAACTGTTTCTTTGATGAACCAGTTGAACTTGCATCCATAACATTGGATGCTCTACCAGCAACAGATTGCTTGCCAGACAAGATATTGTTGAGGGAAGAGCCAGTGTAACAAGATGAAGAAGGTAAATTAGAACAATTGGAAATGTTCTTCTTTGTTACTGAGTAGCGATCATTGTTCAAAAAACAATCTGCAAACCTTTTACCCTGAGGTGGTTGAACTGTGCACTTTACAAAATCGACATCATCGTCTTCACCAGATTTGTTGTCAGTGAATACGTTTCTTAACTTGAAATACCTACCTTCCTTACCATTGTAACGAGTTTTGTAATTGTCGACCATATTAGAGCTGGCAGAATCTAATGCAAACGTTCGCTCATTTGGCGCAAACACTGGCTCATCACAGTCGAAACGGTAAGTAACTGCGTTTGCAGTATCTCTATTTGGAGATTTTGCAATCAATTTTGCATCAAATTTATACGTTACACTTTTATTCCGCGAGTTATTGGATGAGGAGTAGGAAGCTGGAGGTGACTGTCTAATAATTAGCAACGAAGATGAAGATGGTGGCGATAGCATGTGGAATGATGATTCGTATAACGTTTTATCATCCTCAATTGCAGCTGCTTCATCGTCATTGTCATCTTCATCATACGCGCGATTCAGTTTTCCATTCTTACTCTTCCCAATAACCTTCAGGTCATGAAACACTGGCCCACATGCCTGCCCATTTGAAGCATCAGATAGCACGATGCGACTGTCACCAGCAGAAACATATCTACCAGACATTAACGAATATCCATCATAAAGTTCATCATTGACACCACTACAGACTGCACCAACATAATCATCTTCATAATCTGGACGAGATGATGATGCCACTCTCCCTTCAAACACCATCTGCTGACCCGGTCTCGATGCTGTAATTGATGGCGTCATCAGAGTGTGCGATGAGATTAGATCAATGTTCCTCTGATCAATTTCCATATTTCCTGTGCGGTTAGGCCTGGAATAAAAGTAGGGTATGTCTCTTGGCAGTTGTATGCTATCAATCAAGTTGTTGTTGTTGCTAATTGATGTCAATAGCGTCGATAATGTGGCTAGCATCAAGTTGTCCTGCTGCAAACAGTTGTCATCCCACAAGGTATCAGAAGATAGTGAGCGGTTAGGCTGTGACGTTTCAGACCGGTGGTCCATGGGAGCTGAATAATCTTCTACGTAACTTGCAGGAGCACTTGATGACATCAAGAATGAACTGTCGGGAGAATAATCATTCAGTGACGAAAACGAAGAGGTAGGGATGGGCGAACTAGGGATGTGCTGAGTGGAGGTGTGCGAAAAAGAAACGTGTGAAGTAGAGATGTTGGAAACTGATCCCTGAGATCTCGTGCTACCGAGAGGAAGAAACTCGTCCAAAGCATCATCCATCCAATCAGAGGAGGAGCTAAGAATGGCATGATGTGGCAGCCTGGTCGACTGTTCGCCGTGAAGATTTCCAGGCGCCATATCAGTACTGCTAACAGTAGCTGGCATGGCAATCAGATTGTTAACATTTTCATAAAACAATGTTGATGCCAACTCAGTGTTAGACATTATATTCGTGATACCTGGAAAGGAAGTAAAATGTAAATGAGATTAGGATGGAAAAAATGATTTTTGGTTAATAATAAAGTTTTCATACGAGAATCTAATTGCATCATACTGTCCATGATCTCAATAAGAGCCATGTGGAATCTGTCGGCATCATTAGGAAGTCCAAGGCTTTCTGGCAATGTTGATGTGACGATGCTGTCAATTTGTGAGAGGATAACATTCCTCAGGCTCATGACATTCTCCTGAATAAGAAGTTTCTACACAGTTCCATCAAAATTTCATTTTAAATTAAATATAAAATAATTACAATAAGTAAATTTGTTTGAATGAGAATCTTTTAAACATTGGTGTTCAAATTGCCATTGAGTTTTAAAATTAAAATCTCAAAATAGAATCAAAATCATATTCCAAACTGCATAAAAGAAAAATAAATTAAATAAAAGGTGCACAAGAGAATGAATACTTGTTTGACTTTAGCAAAGTCGACATGGACATTGCTGTACATTGATCTGCCATGTTCATGCTGAAGGAAGAGTTCCAACGTGGTTTCCTCACTGCAGGCATCAATTGGACATCTAACTAATTTGCTGAACAATATTTTGTTGACATCTTCTACAGGCTTGTAATCATCTTGAACACATCTAAGAATGAGATGAAAAATTATTTGGAAACATTACAATTGGGTTATGCAAATAAGGAACATTTGAACAACAATAAGTTGAGATGAGTATAAATTTTTTATAATAAAGTATGAAAAATAAAAATAATTCATAAAAGTTTTTAACAATAAGTTGTGATGAGTATAAATTTTTTATAATAAAGTATGAAAAATATGAATAATTCATAAAAGCTTTCAAAACTTCAAATCATTAGAAAGATGCAATGTGGAAAAAGGAAAAAAAGAAGTAAAAATGATGGACAATTCACCTGCAGACTGGACACTTGTCGGAATTAGTGAGACAGGACAATGACCATGTGAATATGCACGACCTACAAAACTTATGTGCATTCAGACACTGGCAACAGTCATTTACTATGCTGAAACTGGAAGAAATTATTGAAACTAAAATGAGATTGTCCTCAATGGAACATAATTCAAAATAAAAACCAAAAAGAAATGACAATCAAATAATAAATATCAAAAAATGAAAATAAAAAGTTTCATAAATATAAATTATATCTAAAACATCTCAAGTTGTAACTGCATGATGAACACTAGATTTAATGTCATAAAAAAACTCCTCATGCTGCTATTGTACTAGTCATATACAGACACTATATTATGTGTCTGTGTTGTACACATATCATAATAAGATAAAATACTTTTTAATGGTATAGCAAATGTTTGTAATGGTAATGTGTAACAAAGTAAATGAAAAAAGAATGTAATTAAATTATGGTAAATCATTCATTCTCTACAAGGCAATCAACAATGAAATGGTGAACTTGCACTTACTGACTTGCTAAAAATTTGAGTCTCATCTCACCAAAATCAAATGCTCAACACAAACTACAAAGAGAACCAATGGATAGCAGACATAAAATTCCAAGTTATCAAATTGCACACCTTGGTATCTCAAAGCGCAATTAATTATTAAAGCACATAAAAATTACAAAAATAAAATAGAAACGAAATCTGTTACCAGATATTGCAAGACAAAGTTTCAGTTTCTTGTGAACTGAGCTGAAGGAACAACTCTTCAGGAAAACCGCCCAACTTGATCCCATGCCGTTCGCTGAGATTTTTCAAAACATTTAGAAATGATTCTTCTCTCAGGCTCGCCGCTAAACTGCTGTTCATTTATTGAATTTAATCAAATTTGCAATCTCAAATTTATGTAACAGTTTTTTTAAATCCACCAAAAACACGCAACGCAAGTGAATACAAATTTGTGAAAAAGCAACAAAACTGCAAGTAAGGAAAGCCAACGTCACTTCAACAATACTTTAAAACAATATGATGCGGCGCCAACTTTAACAAAAAAAAGCATTGACAAAACCACCTGATCTCAGGATATAAACTTGCCAGGCAACGAGAAGTGCGTAAAATGTCTGTTTCTTAATTAAGCCACACCTTTGAAGTTTATAATAAACTAAAATGTCTTTGAAATGTTAAACTATTAAATAACTAAGATATTACTTTTAAAAAATAGCGTCACTTTTTCCTTATTTTATTTTACTGGCTGACTACTTAGTATACTATACTTAATATTTGTTTTTTGTTAATTGTATTTTGTATTATATATATTCTTAGTTGTTAATTCTAATTTATATTTACCTCTCGTTTTTATTAATATAAATAACATTATTTATTATTTTTCATAGTAATAAAATAACATTTTGGCAACAAATTAATTAAAAGTTTAAAAGGAGTATTATAATTATAATATAATATAAGAACATAACCATATTATAAAATTATATATATATATATATATATATATATATATATATATATATATATATATATATAACTATAACTATGACCATTTAATTATCAATAAGCAATGAAACAATAGAATAGCAATTAAATTTAATTTTATTATGCTTTAAAAAGCTCTTGAAAATTTTTGCCAAATGAATACATTTTATTAATTTAATGCTTTCTTACCACTTGAGCCATGTAATGATTCTGTGGTATAATTCTAATTTTATGAAACCAAAATTTATAATTAAATAAAAGTGATTGAAAGTTAACAGCATCTCAAAAAAAGTTATTACATAATCCAAAAGTCAAGCTTAAGTCAAGATGATGAATTATTACTACAACTCATTAAATTCCATGGACAAAAGTTTCAGATCAAAGGTACATTCTGTAGTACTTTATATTGTATGTTTATTTTATAATAGTAGAGGTTACACTTTATAAGTTAATTTGTTTGTATACTTAATTAATGATATTTCAGTTTCTACTTCAAAGTTTTTAAGTTTTTGACTTCTTAAAAATGTTATTGAAAATGTTTGATAGATTATTAATTATATTACATTAGTATTCATTGTCAAGATCAAGTACTGACCAGTATAAATTTTGTATTTGCATGTTCAGTGATGAGTGTTTTTTTAAAAATTCGAGTTTACTGTACTCATAAAAATATCTATTTTTTCTGTATTTATAAATTAAAGTTTAATAAATAATATAAACGAATATAATGATTAATAATTAATTAATATTAAAATAATTATTAAATAATATTAAATAAATTTTAAGTAATTTTTTGAACCATAACAAAAAACAGATGAAACGAAAAATTGATACAGTTGGCGTGTTGAAGATAGTTGCACTTATATTATCCGCAGCTATCCTACTTGTGTTGGGATTTGTTATTGGTTACTTTACAAAAACAGCTGTCACACACCATACATCCAGTGAAAGTGTTGGTATCAGTGAAGTTGACGTTGCTGATTATCTTATGAAAGAGATCTCTTCAGAAAATATAGACAAACACCTCAAGTATAATTCTTTCAGTTAATTTTTTACTTCATTTAAAAATCCGATAACAAACTTCAGTTTTTAAATTAGACAGACTTTACCTCATTCATACGGCCTTGAAAAATTTGTTTGTTGAGTTTGGATTTTAATCATATCACTTAACTGATAAAATATCTAAAGCATATTTATTTCAAATCATCACACATTACTGTTCGATAGGAAATTGACATCCAGACCACATTTGAGCGGCACACCTGGAATCCACGACACCGTCGAATACATCCACAACTTCTGGAAACAAATCCATCTAGACAAAACTAAACTGATTTCATATGAAGTTTTATTATCACATCCGAGCCCTGACAACCCAAACTCTGTATCAGTCCTGGGTCAAGATGACAGTCCCCTTTTCCAGAGTCAGCCAGCTGAGCCTATTTTGAGGCCAGAAGATAACAGCTCCGAGATTGTACCGCCATTCAATGCATATTCAGCAGCAGGCTCTGTTATGGTCGGTTGGTTGTGATGTCTCGTTGTTGTCTCATGACTTTTTTTCATTTTGGAAAAGTTTTAAAAATTTTTTAGCTTAAATTTGTAATGTTTTAAAAACAATTGACATATTGTTAATGAATAAATACCTTTTAAATGGTTTATTAATAATATGCAGTGAAGTTTACTTACTGAGACATTTTCTCTGTTTCTTGATTGGTAGATTTGTTAATTTAGATTTAATGTTTCAACAAAAATTATTTTAGTTTGGTGAACTATAATGAAATAATAAAATTATTATTATTAATTTTTCTAATTATAATATAAATAAACAACATTGATAATATAATAGTTATTGTTAACATATAAAACAGGGCACACCAATTTATGTTAATTACGGGAGGGTGTCTGATTTTGAGTACGTTAAAAATCTGAACATGACATTTAAAGATCAGATATGTGTCGTGAGATATGGATTCAACTTTAGAGCCGACAAGGTTAATGGTTTTTGTACTTCAATCAACCAACCAACCGACCGACCAACCAACCAACCGATCGACCGACCAACCGACCAACCAACCAACCGACCAACCAACCAACCAATCAACCAACCAATCAACCAACCAATCAATTAAACTAGTCATTGAATCAATGGATCAATCAATTAATCATCAAACAGCACCAATCATTCAACATCTGCAATTTGTCTAGTGTCAATTTAAAGTCTTTGATGGCGCTTTTTGACACTTGACAAACACATACTGCAAAATAACGCATAGCCTCTGGTCAATCGCCGGGTTCTCTTTTAAACCTCGATTATCGTACTGCAAATCAGGGCGTTCGATCTTTACTTTTTTATACCGTCTATGATTTTAAAGAAATGTTCATCCGATTCGTTATTGCTTCTTAATCATTTATTCAGTTACTCCATATTTATTTCAAATTAAATTTCATTATTTAACTCAATTTCCAATTTAACTTGTCATTGAAAGGTTGCACTTGGTGAAAAGTATGGATGCGTTGGAATGATTATATACAGTGATCCAGCTGACTATGCCATCACCAACACTTCGAAGGTTTTCTTTTGTTCATTCCATCATCGTCGTCGTCATCATCGTCGTCATCAACAAAATGTAACTTAGCAAATAGTACCACAAAGTTAAATGCACACACTGCCCAGGTATATCCAGATTCGTGGTTGATTCCGGGTGGCGGGGTGCAAAGAGGGACCATCAAAAAAAGCTCCACTGCATCAGGGGATCCTTTAACACCTTTGTACCCGGCTACAGGTAATCATTCCATCGACATCAATCTAAGTTGATGTTCATTTTTGAATTTAAAAAATTTATTAATTAAATGCATTTTTTTAGGTTTAGTTTTGAATTTTAATTTGTTCCAACCGACAGAACATGCATACAGACTGAACATATCAGAGGCCGACCTGCCCAAGATTCCATGCCAGCCCATTGGGTACGACGACGCCAGAAAACTTTTGAGGTAGTGATGGTGACGATGAAGATGATGATGACGATGAGGATGATGTAACTGATGGTGGTGGATGATTATAATGACAATGAATAGCATTGATTATGATGACAATTTCGATGATGACGAATGTGATGATCATTAATATGATTGAAGGTAATGATCGATCGAAAGATTGCGATGAAGTATTGACTGATATAAGAAGATGATAACGCGATGACAATCGCTAATACGTCATATCATCATCATCTTCATCATCGTCGTCGTTAACTTCACACTTAAAAGATATTTCGATGGGGAGGAGGTACCTGACGAGTGGAAAGGTGGTCTGAACATCACGTATCGTTTTGGGTCCAAGCTCATTTCAGGAGCCAAGTTAGCCTTCTGGAAGAAATTTTTATCACCAACACTTGCACAAACGCACAAATATATAAACACGCTCGCAAACAAACCCACGCACACACACATACACGCACGCACACACACACGCACACACACACACAGGTTACGCGTCTATGAGTTATTAACAGCCAAATAAATGTTTGCATGCATGTTTTCGCATATATTTTTCTCGTTCTAATTGATCATTTTTCAAAATATTCTAAAATTTCATGCTTGAAGTTGAATATTTTTTGCGTCACAGAGCAGTGAAAGTGGTAGTGAACAACGAATTTAAACTGGACACCATCAACAACATCGTCGGATTCATTGAAGGATCCGTCGAACCAGGTACGTCTTCATCATTCTTCTTCTTCTTCTTGATATTGATCATTGACTAGGCCACCTATAGATCATTACTTTTTATTATATTTCATTATTAATGTATTGATTGCATGATTTTTTATTGTTTTTATTTACAGCCAAATATTTTTCTACAGTGGATAATTTTATCAACGAACTTATCAACCAGAAAATCAACCATTCAAATAACTAGCTAGACTTCTGGTTTCTTCATCCAACCAATCAAACCAGCTAACTGATAATAACGCATCTATTTAACCAACCAACGAGCCAACAAACCAACCAACGAATCAACAAACCAACCATCCAACAAACCAACCATCCAACAAACCAACCAATCAACAAACCAACCAACAAACCAACCAACTAACCAATCAACAAACCAACCAACAAACCAACCAACCGACCAATCAGTTAACCAACCAACAAACCAATCAACCAACCAATTACGAAACAGATCGTTACGTCATAATAGGCAACCACTACGACGCCTGGGTGTACGGTGGCGCTGACCCCAACAGTGGCACTGCCGTCATGCTGGAGGTCTCCAGGGCTTTCATGGCACTCACCAAAGAGAAAGGTAAGGCTAGAGTTAGTGACGTATGTTAGAGAGTGTGTTAAGGGCGATTTCAACGAAACGGAAGCATAAATTCTTCAGATCTATCTCTCGGGTATCCGACTAACTGTTTCTTAACACATTGCACAAACATTTTCAACAAATGCATGTATACGCAAATATAGGCTCATAAACACACACAAACACACGCACGCACACACACGCTCGGAATAGGATGGAGACCAAGGCGCTCACTGATGTTCTGTGCCTGGGGAGCTGAAGAGCAAGGAATCATTGGGTCAAGAGAATTTGTTGAGGTTCTTCATTTTATTATAATAATTAATTAAATAATTTATTTCATATCTAGTCAATTAATTTGTTAATACAATATCTTTTTTAACAAGACTTCAAGCCTCCTTTTATTAAAACCCAGAGCATAGCTTGTTAATTGAATACCTAATTAATTGAATATCTAATTAATTGAATAAAGTAATTTCTTGATTCATTAAGGAGTACGGCTTGATATTAGGCCAGAGAGCAGTTGCCTATTTGAATGTCGACATAGCTGTTCAAGGTTAGTAACGTACGACGACGACGATGACGACGACGACAATGACGTCAGCAAAGATGACTATTACTATAATGACGTTGATATGATAGTGATTAGGCTGATTATTATGATGTTTATGATATTAATAAATATGCGGTTTTGTCAAACATTTAGACACAGCTCCTGCAGTAAGTTTATCAATACCGTTTTGTTGCTAGAAAACACCTGCTCTCAGTATTTAAATCGATTTTTTTGATTACCGTGTGGCAATGACGACTTATTATGATTATTATTATTATTATTATTATTATTAATATTTTAGGTAGGTTCGTATTCAGAGGTAAAGCTCTGCCAATGTTGAACACCGTTCTTTTTGAAGCTACCAAACTGGTATGCACTTCAAACCGTTAACTCAATCCTATGTACAGTTATTGCATTGACGCTAATACGTAATGCTATCATTTATTTTGATGTATTTTATGTGTTTCTGGTGTTTTTATGGTATTATTGTCTTGTTATTTTTTTGGAAAGTATAAAACATCTTTCTATTCATTTTCATTCTGTTGAATTCTTCTGTTCTGTCTGGCTCAAAAAAGCGTGAAAACCACGCGTCACACACGTCGTACATGATAAGCGGGGATCATTTTGCAGTTGAATCCAGTCATTGCAACAACAGGACCAGGCGCCTTTAACCATTGCGTCATCACGTCGCCCCATGTTTCACAGTTACCTAGTTTGAAAGCAGTGAAAAGCCTGATTATCGCATTCTTAAATCGATCAATTAATACTTCATCTACGTTTTTCAACTCTCAAGTGCATACGTCATAGTAGTAATAATTATTCCTAAGGATGTCTAGACAGTTTGTTAAGCAGTGGACGTTAACATTTCGTCTCACTTCATGTCTAGGGGTCCTTGAAACATTACTCGCAATTCTTAAGATCCCACCACTCAAGCCAATGATATCGTAATAACATTTAAAAAACGCGCGCCACATCTTCGTCATCTTCATCACATGATCATGTTAAAATCGTCACCTTATCATCACTGTCATGTTCACTTTTGTAAACATAACTGCGATGATGGATGACGTCGTCTTCATTTTGAATTTACGTCACCATAATTATTGCCAACGTCAGGTGCCTAACCCTGACGAGGAGGAAGTGGAACATGGAAGAAAGAGCGTTTATGACACTTGGTGTTTTAGAAAACCTGAAAAATCTTCTTCCTCTTCACCGACATCTCTGTCATCATCTCCATCGTCACCAAATCACGCGGTAATTATTGATCGCGATGATAAATCGCACAGCAATTATGTCACTATATATAAAGATGATGACGACATTGATGATGGTGTCGTTAAGCCTATAAGACCAAGGTTTCTTTTTTTGTCTGTCCTTTTGCTAAATAAAATTGTTGTTGATATTTGTTTTTGCTGCTGTTGTTGTTGTTGTTAATAAACATCGTCTTCTGATTTCTTAGTATACATTGTTTATTGCTACTGTATTTTCTGTCGATTTGCACAATTTGCACTTTTAGTTAACAAAAGCTGTTTAAGTTTGAGAGTTTACAGAGACATACAAATGTCTGTTTATATAGGTGTATAGATTTACTGCGTAATCTCCTGTATAACGTCATTAAGTTTAATTTTTTATTTGTGGATGATTTAAAATGATTTTTAAACGTTTCTAAGGATGGGTTTGATAGGATCCGGAAGCGATTTCGCGCCCTTTGTAATCAGCGTAGGAACAACGTGTGCAGATGTAAGATTCATATATGATGAGAAGTTGAACATCTCATCATACCCACTCTATCATACTGGATACGAAACGTACTACTTGTTCTCAAAACACCACGATCCTGGCTTTATTGTGAGTCACACAGTTTCTTTACTCTTTTAAAATACTCTCTCATTAGATTACAGCTCATAGATAGTTGTAAAATTTTTGCGGAAACTTCTCTTACTTTAAAAGACAAAAACCGTTTTACCGCCACAGTACTCAAAAGCTCTGGGTAGGGTGTGGTCTCAGATGGCCCTCATGCTAGCTGATAGGGTTCAGATTCCTCTCGATCCAGTTGAATATTCAGATTTCGTCAAATCATATTTTCAAAAATTTAAATCCAGCAACGAAAGATACTTGCTAGGCTTCAACATCACTTTAAGTATGATTGCGTTTGCTGTTTTCATATTTAACGTAATTATTCTGTAAATAGTTGAATAATAATTAGTTCCTTTCAGACTTGAATGCACATCATTTATTTACAATTGAATTTTTCAGCTGCTCTTTCGTCAGCAGTAAAGAACTTTACCCGCGCCGTCAAAGATTTTAAAGCACGTCTGGATAAAATTGATTTGAATAAGTTAGTGAAAGACATCTTGAATTGGTGATGATGAAATTATTAACTGGATTTAATTTCAAAACGCCTTTATCGCCTTACATTCTTCTTTGATTTCGTTTTCAAAAAATGTTTCAAGCAAAATTAATTTTGAAAATTAAAAATTAAATAATTGAATAATTTAAATTTATCCAATCGTAATTATTTATTCCACGTTTGATTGCCACGAGCATTATATAAAATCATTGAATCAATTTGTGATGCTCCACCTGCAACATACAAACACGCAGTGTACATCTCGTCCGCCAATACAACGACCAGCTGATGAACCTTGAAAGATCATTCATTGACCACGCGGGACTGCCCGACAGACCGGCGGTCAAGTTCGTCTCCTGTATTTTCAAATTATTTTTAGCACTAGCTACCGATGCCAGCAGCTATCACTCATTATTATTCATCATCTCTTCAAGCATTTTGTACTGTTTGATGAGTAGGTACTGTACCAAACACAAGTCAATTCCATCATACAGGCACGTCATCTTCGCTCCGAGTAGGTACAACTCGTACGCTGCATCAGTCTTCCCTGGCGTGACAGACGCCATATTTGACCTGAAACAGCATCTGCACGACGGCGAAGCTCCAAAATACGTCGAACAAGTTAAAAAACAACTCTCGGTTTTGATCTTTATGTTCCAAAGAGCTGGAGCGAATTTAAAAGAATCTGACGATTTCATTGGTAGGGATTAGCTTGGTGTCATGCAAATCATGTGCTACGATCTAATACTTATTCTTCAGTGTGATGTGATGCACCGCGATGTGACCCATTGTGGTGTGGTTCAATTTGGTTTTGTGTGATTTGATTTACCGTGATTTCAATATGATTGAGATTATGTTTCCTACCGTTTTGCCGTGTTCAATTCCACGTTCGTTCTATTTCACTAATTGCACTATTTAAAATATTTTCATAAAAATTGTTAAAAAAACATTTGTTGGAGGTAAGTTTAACAAAAGTGATATTTTGGTTTGGAAAACAGTTTGTAGAAGTTGGATTCGAAGTTAGAAGTTAAACACTTTGGAACATTATTAACGTTTGCCGGGCACACGATTACTACATGTGCGTAACGTACTCGCATTTACTTTTATGAACATAACTGAAAAATTAAACATAATGTCATGTAAAACAACTTTGAAGGGCGGGTCAAAATTATGAAACTGTCCAAATTTTGAAATCTGGACTGATGGGGCCCGGGGCCAAGAAACTAACCAACACCACAGTTCGATTTTTTGGGATGTGGAGCTGATATAGTGAATTAAGCTAGTAGTTTTTTTATTAGATTCACGTAGTATTCAATCTCAAGAGCATCAAAATGTATAATTTGGTAATGCAAATTCCGACGTTTTTGATATGTAGTATTTTAAATTGACCCAATAATTATCATTATATATTACAGAACTAATCAATATGTGCTTACAAAACAGAATAATGCGAACTTGAAGAACTGGGAGTAGACATTTGCAATTGAAATTAATTTGATATGCGGGAGTGTCGATCTTTTTGTTAGTTCGTTAACCACATAATAGAGCGGTCACACACGCACACACACACACAAACACACGCATACTTACATACACACACACTCACATACAAACATACACACACAAACAAAGACAGACTAAATATGTATTATCTTTAATAATTAATTCCACCGAGGTATGTCAACTTGTATGCATGTCTCTAAACATTGTTAAACATATTTAGTGTACGAAATATAAATTTTCCTAAACAATAAACATACGTATACATAAAAAACACCACAAAAAATGAAACTAGTTCATTTGAAAAATATTGTGAAAAATCTAAATTGATTGTAAGACAACTAATAAGGTTAATAGTAAAATGATAATTTCGATTCACAATACAAGTATCGTGATGAAACAAATTCTAAATAAATAATAATAAACATAATCATTCATTCTGCAAAAAAAAACCAACACGACATCATTCTTGCAATTGCATTCATAAACTTATTCTTTTTTTTAAACAAAAAATAAATGTAACACAGTAATAAATATTAATGGGAGCATTGAAAAAAGCAATATAAAAGTAAATCTGACAACAGCTTACTCAAAAGTAAATTAACTAACACGCTACCTAGAACAATGAAGAGGTAAACTGCAACAACCACAGAGAAGACTACAAGATCTTAATAATAATAATTTCACCAAATATAATGATCACAGAATTTTGTAACAAACAAACAAACGAACAAACAAACAAACGAACAAACAAACAAACAAACGCAAAGTAATTAACAAACAAACAGATAAACAAAAACACAAAGAAAGATACGACAAAGCAAACAAATGATCGGATATTGGATGATGACACATTTAAAAAAACATAAAAATGTACAGATTATATTTTGATTCCCATGGACCAGAGAACTGGTCTATCATTTTGAATCTTAACGGCAGGAGAGCCATCGAATCCATTGCTCGTGCTTACTAGTTCACCAAATTCAAGAACACTGTTTGCTGTTTGGATAAATTAAACAAATTCACGAATTATTTTTCATCTAATTCAATGCTAATTAAATTACTTGTTACAATGAAAACATTACTATTATTACAAAGTTTTTAACATTCTAAGCTAATAATGAAAGTGTCCCGACAAACTAAATGCTGTCTAAAATAAATTTAAAATCTCTTAAATTACTTCACAAAAATTTGCTTATTATGACCGAAAAGTATAAGTGAAAAAAATAAAAATTTTTTGTGAATAAAATGGATTAAAAAAAAAAGCGAACAAAACAAAATTCTAAAGCAATAACCAACGCATAATACCAGATCACTTATAGATAAACAAACGGAAAATTAAATAAAAATAAAAATGGAAAATTAACCACACACTCATATTGTAAGTTAGACCATTTGTAGTGACCGTACACGAGGAACCTATTGGAACCAAAGAGCACCATTTGCCTCTCAACGCTGAGTCGACATCTATCTCGTGCTCGCCCTTTAGTTGGAAAAAAAGAATTTAATGTTTCACTATAGTTGCTTGAGTGTTGGAAATCAATTAACAAATCAGAATTTTGAAGCCAAGAAATAACTTCAAGAAAATCCTAAATATCATTTGAAAGATCATATTCACAATTGATAAAGTTATCCAAAAACGTCCTACATATCGGAAATAAAATGAACTAAACCACAAACAATGTCTTCTTTTAGTACAAAACTAAAAAGCAACAACAAAACACATTAAAAAACAACTAGAATCGTTGTGACATTTTTTTATATAAAAATCATAGCACCAGCAAAAGCATAAACCTGATAACGCCAATTTGGCAGAAGTAAAACAAAAAACACTGACAACAACAACAACAACAACAACGACGACGACAACAACCACACGGGCACATCTGCAGCTACGAATAAGCAGACTAACTGCCGGCAATATAAATGAAACGTTGTCACACATTATGATGAATAGAAAGACGTTTGAAGACTTTGAAAATCTGTTTAAATTTTTTACGGGATAAAATATAATATAGTAATAAAATATAATAATAATAGCATATATAATAATAAAATCATCGTTGTTATTAAATTCCTATCGTCATTCCTAGATAATTTTATCATCATCACTTATTTAAGTTTTTGAGTTTATTAAAATTAGTGTCAAGCTAGTAATTTATATAATAAAGATATAAATAAATGAATAAATAAATTAATTAATTAATAAAGTGTATAAAAAAATAAATTGTATTAGACATCTAATTGAGTTAGATCCAAAGCAATACAGCAGCCTGTCTACCTGTATAATGTGTTGATGTTGGCCATTTGGTGATCAAATCGACGTTGAGAAGCTCCGACATGGGCTATGATGCAATCCAACTATGCAGATGATTAACATTAGGGAAAGCTTTACAAAATATAATAAACGAGCATATAATGATATACATTAACATAATATTAATGTAATTTATTTTAATATATGCTAATTTTTAAAATAATAGCAATAAAATAAATATTAAAAAACGTATTGTCAATATATATATATATATATATATATATATATATATATATATATATATATATGTATGTATATATACTTATATTCATACATATACACAAATACACACAAACATATATACACAAAAGCGTATACATGCAGAATTTGAACAAGAAAAACCAACACTACTGTTTGACTGTTGAACTTTTTCAAGTAAAATATTTAGGCATTTGGTGAAGTCTGTATTGTCTTGATCAGGTCTACAGAATACATCACAGCCCTGTGAATGGTTAAGGGAATATACATTTATGATTAATTATGTCTGTCATTTAACTATTTTCTAACTTTTAATAATAAAATTCAAAATTCATACTAATGCATTGAGGAAAAATATCAAATCTGTACTTGGTTAATTGAAATAAATAAAAAGACATAAATCTAAATAAAAACTTGTGTATGTGTGTGTGTCTATCTGTCTGTGTGTGTGTGTGTGTGTGTGTGTGTGAAAGTAATAAAGCAACCTTGCACTGATAGAACTCTTTGATGATTGGTGCAATGGAATCAAAGTCACCAGCGATGAAATGTGGGAGGTATTCAGAATGTGATGCTGGAACATAAGTGAACAGTACATTTGTGCCACCATCAGCTGAACACCTTATCTTTGCTTGAAATACAATGTTATAATGATTTAAGATTAAAGAATTTATGTATTGATGTTTATACTTCTTTCATAAAAAAATATATATAATCAGGATATAACAAATGAAGACATTTTCCATTTAGTATGTTAATAACAGTTTTAAATTTAATGAATGTTAGTTAATGGAGAAAAGATTTCTAAAATTATGTGAAAATTTTTAAAAAGCAGAGAACTAAAAACTTTCTCAAAGAATCCATATTATTTTTTCATGAAAATCATATAGAAAGGCTTAAAAATAAGCTTGACAAAATATCAGATGTAAAAAAAACTGTATTTTAAAGTACAGTTATTAGTTAATTTTTAAAATATTTATATTTTATTAAATTTAGTCATAAATATTTTAATTATCTTTACTCATTATTGCTGCTTCATATCTTTGTATTGTCCATTCCATTCATTAAAATCACATTTAATATAACAAATGAACACTTATTATCACACATAATCAAATAAAACCTTTTTTCCAGAGTTCATTGAAAATATTTAAATCATTGTCACTGTAGAATTTAGAGTTCAGCTTTATCAAGCCATAAGTCTGACCTTGCAAATGTTTTAAAAAGTTAACTATTAATAATCAGTCATTTATAAACATTGAAATTAAATATTTAACAAATTGAAGTTAAAAAAACAAGATATTGAAAATTGAAAAGACTCTAAACTAAACTAAAGAATCATATAGAAGTGTATTATATTATTATAATAATATTATTATAAAAAAGGAGTAACTAAGCACTCACAAGAAGGATTTTCAAGGATATGTAGAGGTCTCCAGGTGAATTTATTCATTATTTTACTCATTTTCATGTCAAGAAATAATGGAAACTTTATTTTCAAAAGAATATTTAATTTAAATTTAATTTTTCATCCAACTTCAAACAAGCAATAAGAGCACATTACATTGGTGAGGCTAGCTGTTTGTGTGAACAAACACATCGGCTATGTATGGGATGGTAAAATAGTTTTATAAAAATTTACAAAAATAAAAATAAATTTTGAACAGGAAAATTCATATACTTAACAAAAATAATTTGATTATTTTAACAATATTTTTGTTTTGTATGAATTTCTTTTCATATATTTTAATAGATGCTAATATGTTAATGAGATGTGCTGGATTGTACTGGAACAGCTGATGCCGCCGTTCGTGGACGTGGATGCGACGTAGCATTCCTCTACTCTACCGCTGCGCTCAGAACTAAACAACACAGCCATACGTTCTGTTCTAATGTATGGTGCAGAGACATGGCCGATGACAACAAAACTCGGACAGCAGCTTCACCGAACTGACATGAAGATGATTCGTTGGACGCAGCATGTTGACCTAAGGGACCATATCCATACAACCGAGATCCTAAACCGATCGGGACTGTGCACGTTGAAGGATGTATGTCGTCGTCATCGCCTACGATGGTTTGGCCATTTGAAGCGAAGCGAAACCGATACAATAATTTCCGTTACTCAGCACCAGGTGCCTGGCACCCGCCCAAGAGGTTGCCCAAAAAAGTCCTGAATGCAAACCATACAGGAGGATTTAAAGGCACTTGGTCTCATGAAAACAGAAGCTGATGAATGGAATAAAAAAGTCCGACTCAAAACGGATGGAGACTATAAACTAGGATTGATTGATTGGATTGATGTTAATATGTTTTTATAGGTGTCTATTATATGTATATGGTTTATAACGTTTATAAAGTATAAAAAATTTTATGCGCATGTTACATTACAGTATTTTATATGAATTTGAGTAATATCTACGAGCATTTACAATTTATTAGAAAAATGTAGCTAATGTATAGAATAAAATTATAGAAAATAATAAAATACTGGAAATTTAGAATATGTGATTCAGTGATTAAAAATAGGTATTACTACATTATAAATTACAAATTACAGTATTGTAATATAATCTACCCATTCATTAGAAATTTCAACAAACTTCATTAGAAATTCCAGTACAAACATTCTTTCAGAAAAAAAGATTGAAAACTGCCGGTTTTATCATAAAAAAGTTAGTCAAATTATATAATAAAGACGTAAATGTTGTTAATTATATATTTAATTTTAAAATTATAAATATAAAGAGAATAAGATTATTATATTTTAGTAATTGTTTTGTTTGACCGAGCAAAGAACAATAAGTAAATGATGTAGTTGTTATGTTTACTTATAAGCAGCTTCATTAGATACGGCGTTAACGGTTGTTGCCTGATTTGAATGTCCTTCGTTTTATTTATGTGAGTATGTTAAGTTTTTTTATTCCTTAATTGCACTAATTTTAGTTGTTTAACTGTCGTTTTAGGAGAAACCGGAGATCTCTCATGGTTGTAAGGTTAAGGGTAGTTTTTTAAAACTTACAACAAACAATTTTTTTGACATTTTTTCCATTTCATGACTTTTAACTTAACATTATGTTAATATTGTTAACAGTTAATAAAGCCATGGTTACAATTAAAAAATTTAGCTTGTTAGAGTTAGGTTAGGTTAGGCACTAGCATCTTACATTCAAGAAGGATTTCCGGTTTTGCCATCATTTTACAGATTATTTTATTTCGTTTTATTTTTTATATAAAAATAAATAAATATCAATATTAATAATATTAAACTTCAATTAGAATCATAAGGTCATAATTACTGTTAGACTTTCATTTCAACTTTTAATTTTAATTTTTAATTTAATTTGCTTCACATTGACACAGAATTTTTTTAGTGTTGCTTCATGCTGGTTTCAATTGTGTAAAACTGTAGAGTGTGTGATCTAATCTGATTCAACTGTTTGCAATGGAGCTTGCTAAACATTATGTGGTAATCATTTTTATCACATTCTGCTCTGAAATAGGTATTTTTCCATTTTTTAGTTAATTTAAATTTTTGAATAGTTTAGAAGAGATTTTTGCCAGAGTGGATGTTCTAAAAATTGGAATAAAAAGTTGTTATCATTGTGTTTTAAATGTGTTGAATATTATTGCATTTGCTAATAATTTTTTGATGCATTTGACTTAGATAAATAAATAAATACATGAATAATTCTTTATATATATTCATATAGTAATATTTGAAAAAAATACAAAACATATTAAATATAAAAATACATTTTTCGGCATTGTTCATTAATTAAATTAACAAATTGGTGAAATGGCAGAGTGGATGAAACAAAAATGTATCAATAAACAAAACAATAAACAAAACAACAAACAAAGCATAGCAACAAACAAAGCATAACACTAAACAAAGTTTAACTACCACAAAACTTTATATATGTGTATAATACTTATATTGGCAGTATATTATATTTTGTATACATATTGTAAAATTCTGCATAAGTTATAATATTATTGATTTTTTTTGTTTTACCATTTATTTCCTATTATTTCTAATCAAATCATGACTCTTTTTTTATTTGCAGTCGTTAAGTTTTGAGCCTGAAGGTAATTTATTTTGAAATTTTATCAGTATAAATATTTAAACAAAGGTGAGTTAGTATAGGATGTTAAAAAATGCAGAGAAGTAAATAAATTGGATTTTATACTGATTTGTTGATTTGTTTTGTACGTTTTTTAATTCTTGCCAAAAGTTTATTAATTGAGATTGTTATTAGTTTTTAATTGTTCATTTATTAGTTAATTAATTATTTCGTTTATATAGTTTTTCTACAATTTTGAGTTATCTTGAGTGTGCAATTTTGTTTACTCTAATCGTTCTGGAGACATGACCTTCTGTGATTTTTGGTTGTCTGGCAATTCCGAATGTCGATATGAGATGTCACCACGTTGGCACAACGAAGGACCATGTCTACACTCGAAATCGAAACACAACCAAAAAAATCACACAATTTCTGGAACAACTATCACAGACAGAACAACACATTCAACAACTCTTAACATTCTAGAAGCTCTCCATGCACAAGAAAGAAATTAAGTAACAACTAGTAGCTACCCTTTGAGAGTCTTTTTTCCTTGTGTTAAATTTGCAGTTTTTTAAGACAAGAACGCCCATGATGCCAGGATACAACTTTTCAAGCCTACTTCACTGCTTATGGTTTTTGCACAGAAGTGATAAATTTGTGCTATGATTTCTTAAATAAGGTTTAATCCTTTATAAAAAAAAAGGTGCGACAACGAATTGTGCAGAATATCCGAGGTACTTGACTGAAACCAAAGAACGTGCCATACGGTGTTCTTGAAACCATACAGTGCAAGAGCACCTCCATATGTTCCACATAACACGTTCGATCATCGTGCCATTTTTTTTGGTAATAGTTAACCCGATCCTTAAAGGGCCAGTTACTGAGTATATAAACCAGAAATGTTACTTCGACAACATGTATTTAACATTCCAAGAGTCGACGTACCATACCTATACTAAAGCTGGCTCAGCGTCTGTTGTGTCAGTAGTTTTATCTGCAAAAACAGAAAACTCTCGGGACTTTTTAACTTTTTTCCAATTAACAATAAATAATTATGCAAAAGTATTCAAATTTCATTCTGAGCCAACTTAATAACATAATTTTAATATCTTAATTCTTTTTCGACAATTATCTGCATTGAGCAGATTATGAATAAAAAAAAACAAATCATTCTATAGACTTTTTTGGAGAAAAATGTTTGAACTTTAACCACCACTTTAGAATAGGTTTTTATGTTGTATTTTAAAAATATTTTAGTGAAGATGACATTTTTGACATTAAGCATAATTATTGATTCATGAAGTGTCAATATTTTCTAACATTCGAAAATTGATATTGCCAAATTTTTTAGCTTGAAAATTGTTATACTACAAATTTGAATACCGTCAAATAATTTTTATAATAAACGGATTTTTTCAATTTTTTTATAGTTACTGATAAAAATAAAAACGTTGCATTGGGGAGAAGTGTGTATATGAAAAAAGGTTTTCAAGAAGAACATGCCAATGACGGCAATTTAACGACCTTTGCTCATCATGAAATGATAGATAATCCGTGGATGGTGATCGACTTGGCTCGATTTTACTTCCTTGACCGTATTGAAGTTTTATTTAAAGAAAGAATAAATGAAGGTTGTTAAGTAATGTAGCAAGTTATAATGTATGTTTATTTAAGACTTACTTAGCTGATTTATATTTTTTTAAAAAAGCCATATTAAAATAATTGGAAAATTATTTGAAAATCTCAATTAAATAATGAAAATTCTTCGTCGGCTTTTGTAATGGCTTTATCACTGCTTTTGAATTTTTATTTATCGATCTTTCGAACTTACCAAAGAATATATTTTCTAAAATTCATTCCAGTTCATCTTCAAAATTTTGGTTGATTCTCATTGGTTATTGTTAGTATTATTTTCACCACCATATCCCAACCCAGGTGATTGATTTTATTAGATCAGAGGTAGGCAAACTACAGCACGACAAGCCATTTTATGCATCCGCGAGGCCCTGTACGTATTTTGACGAAAAAAGTAGAAATGACTTTGTAACCAAAAAAGTCGTTAACCAAACGTTAAGACTAACAAAAGGTCGTCAGCTACAAATGAACATCTTAAAAAAAACTCCCCCACCCAGTCAATGGTAGAAAAATTTGATATTTATATACATATGCGGTTTTTTAAAGGTAGAATGGTTTGCCCACTTCTGGATTAGATCAATATGCTCTGGTTACTCCACAACTGTATCAGTATGCAACAACCTAACACGACCCATCCCTGTAAAGCGTGTAGTGCTGCAGGGCAATCCCAGTTCCCTTTGCTATTTAACTTACGTTTCAATCCTTTAATGGAAGTACTACAACAAATGTGTTAACAACAAATCGGATACATTTGCTAGCCTAAAGTCATGAGCTTGATTTCAATCATAGGGAGCTTATTTGTGGGCAAACTGCCAGCCTAAAATCAATAGCTTGGCTTTAATTTGCCGATGATTCGGAAATTATCTCAAACAGCGCAGAGGGAGCCCAAAAACCTATAAATTTCAATCAAGCCTCGTGCCAAGTGACGGGTATGAAAATGAGAAGAGATAAATGCTGCACACTTTGGATGTGGAAGATCGACGGAAAATACGAACAATTTTTACTCAGATTGACGGTTGAAAATGAGACAATCCCTCAGATTATTATAGGTGACCATTTTACGTATCTGGAAAAAATTTACGACTTTCAATGCAAGAACGCGAAAGAAAGCAACTGCTGCATGATAAACTTAAAGTTTTGCTGCATACGATGGAAGTTGGAGATCCTAACAGATTTGTACAAGTCACTCAAACCAGACATCGCCATTCTCAGTAATAACACAATGAGGATACTTAAATTAACTATTTGCCATGAAAAAACTTTGTCAATACAAAATTGATAAGTATACATCAATACACCAATCTTAAAAACAACCTGGTGAACGATTTTAGACACTTTAGAATTTTAATTAACACTTTTTTAATGGTCACCTATAGGTTTTAATAACCCCTTTAATATATCATTAGTTAAAATGAACTGGACTGATTGTTTTCGACATAGCTTAATTAACAGCGTAATATCGTCATCCTATGCCATATATTGTGAACGGAACTATGCGTGAACTCATTTTTATGAACTTTTCTATCGTCACTGCACTCATTTCGAATGAAGAGCAATGATGACTAACCTTTATGATTTTAATTTTAATTTGAAGTATGTTTTTTAAATTAATTATTTCTAATTGATATATTTTATGAGTAATAAAAGGTATGTTCCCATTATTATTATTGCAGTAATAGTAATCTTGGCAGTGTCACTATTTTTTGTAGTGATCAATTTACTTTTTTTTTATTTTCATTATTCCAAAGCCGACCGTTTGTGGCGTATTTTTAATCAATTTATATGACGACTAATACGTTGAAAATTATGTAACGTTACTTAACAATGATATACAAACACACTTTTAAAAATTGTCAGCGAATCTGGAGAAATATGAAGTTGGTTTATTGAAGAAATTTTTGACGGATCCAGTGTATACATATAATCAAGATGATTTTGAGAGAATCAATCTACTAGTTATTATAAATGATTTGCTGACAATCACTTTGGCAAATAAACTTCTTGGGATATTTAATCTTGCTATATAAAGATAACTTACAATTTGACATTGTGGAGGTATTTGTCGAGGCCACAGGTTTGCTACAGTTTTTAATATTTTTATAAATATGATGCATACAACGTTCATAACATGGCCCCTTCTTACAAATACCTTTCTTAAAAATAAAATCTGTGCTCTTGGACACTGTTCTCTATCAACTTGAGAGTTTTAAAGTAAATTTTTCGCTCGAGCACCGATTTTAATTTTAACAGTAAGTACCTCGATGTACTTCGTCCGTAAAATACAATTTCCATAAAGATATTTTAATTATTTTTCAAGTTACGAAGATTTTTGTGACACAACACTTCAAATTTGTGTGCGATTTTATTTCTATAACTTGTACCTATATAGAACGTGGATCGTGCATGGTTGGAGTTAAGAGAGAATCATTCTGATATAAATGGCGCCGCGATCAACTGCTTACTAGATGACATAGGAATGTTTAAAACTGATATTGTTAATATGAGAAAGAGTCACCGAATTTTTTTTACAGAATCGGAGTAAACTTTAATGTTGTAGTCAGTTAGAAATGATTTTTTGAGGTGTAATATGTGCTGAAAAAAGAAAATTGAGATATAATACTTACCTGAAATTGTGCATATAGCTGTGCACTCGCAAGAATTCATATTCTTATAATTTAATGAAACAGAATGGTATCTGTTTAATATTTAAGCGCTGCTTGAGAATAACTGCAAGTCCTACAAATTTTAAATTTACTACGTTCATTTTATCTCATGTTTATAGATGAATTCTGATGACATTTATCAAACAACCAAATTCAAACTACAATATATTTTAGACAATAATTAGTTTTGCTTAATAATTTGACTCTCCACTCCACTTCCGCACTTTTTTATGTGGTTCATTTTCTAACTATTAATAAATAATCCTTTTTTAAAACTAGTGAAAATTATATTTGAGTGTAATTTATGTATGCTTAAATGAAATTGAAAAAGAATAATATTGAAATTTAATTTGTGTGTGTTTTCATTTAATTTGTTAAGCATCTCACTTGGAAGACTATATTGGATGTTATACATCATTCGTTTCTTCGCTCAAGTCAAATTTTGAATCTTTTCATCATTGCTCTACGTTTTGTAATCAGTCAAATTATTTTGCCATAAAAGTAACTTTTTGTATATTTTTCATTAATTGTTTTTCATTTTTCATTATTATATATTCAACACCGTATCGTGAAATGTTGTTGGTAACAAATTTACGAGCGATTCTTTTAAGAATAAAATTGGGAGCGTTTCGAATAAACGTAATGCAAGTTCTTTCAAGTTCTATGAGATCAAACCAATGACTGATTTGGAAATAAATAGTCAAGTTTTTTCGAATGATTGGACTTTATTTTATATCTTTAGCACTTATTAGTTACAAGAATTATGATCATACACCGTGGGTACATTTTTTGAAAACATTTCTTCACGTTCTGACAAACGTCAAAAAATAATTTGAATTTTATATCTCATTCAAGCTGGATTGAAATTGTATTGTGGCTTACTTTGTTGCGTCCAGCTGAGAAATTTCCAGTATTTTAATGCAATTTTATACGATTGTGTGGATGACATTTATGCTATATTAAAAAAATCGTCCGTTTCCATGATATATGCTCTACTAAGTTCCGCATTGAAGCCAGTTTTTCAATAACAAAAATATGATTTTTTGGCTAACCAATAGAACAAAGCTTTTGTAATCCAATAAAGTTTTTTCCGATTGTTATTTTAATTAGCTCGAAAATAAGCCCGTTTATTTTTAAATTGTCTACAGAAGCAATGGCATTGCTGCCTACGACTGTGAAAGAACACCACTGCAAGAATTATAACTACACTGACATATCTGGGCACTGTATGTCAGGTTGTTTGGAGGACTTGAAAGGTCATGGGTGCAGTCAAAGAGGTGAGAGGTTGTTTGTCTGCAGATTGTAAATATACTAAACTGGATGAAACTATTTGCTTGGTCCAGATTATGCGTTTTCTAGCGCTTAAAATTAAATAGCTTAATTTTTTACAGTTTGCAGCAAGAACCCGTGCCAAGGATCGCAAATATGTGTTGAGGAAAATTTAGGTTTGATTGAAATATCATCGTGCTATCCAGAAAAAGAAAGTAGGAAGTGATTAAATGTTTTAAAAAATTGTTTTGAAATAATTATTAAAATTGATTGTTACAATGCCTATTTATTAACTCTCATTTCTATTGGCCACAGACTCTGTTGAGTTTCTTTTGTATAAGACAAATTAAGATGCTCTTCTCCATTCAGAAATGCAAGCCTTAGCGTTACAATTTTTATGACAAATTCGTTAAGCCGAATCATTTGTCACTTTTGGTGATTTTAAAAATTGTATTTAGTTATTCGATTTAGTATTAAAAAAATGCATGGATCGTTAACACATTTCTTGCGAAATTTTACACAATTCTTTTATAATAAACCTGTCAGTTCGTGTAGAGGTGGGCAACATCGCATACAAGAGGAGGGTGTTCATGAAGCACGGATTGTACACGGAGAAGGCCACTGATGGCGACATCTACAGCTTCTTTGCGACTCACAGCATCCACCCCGATCCCTGGATCGTCATAGATCTCAGCAGATATTACATGATCACCTCAATTGAAATGTACCATCCACCAGTTCAATTAAACAGAGGTACCCAAAGTTTTATTAAAATTTACTTTACAAATTCAACATGTCTCCGTAAACACCAAAATTGAAAGCCGTTTTTTATTGAATTGAGAACTTCACTTGTAAGAGCAAAAAAATATTGACACCATGAAAACGAATGTTAAATTGGTAACACCTTATTAATTTAGTTTTAATCAAAAAGTTTCGATATTCACTTATGTACATTTTTCCTTATTTAAGATAATAAAATGGATAAAAATGTTTGTCCGCAAAATTAATAGCTGCTCACTGTTTCAGGGAAATTGTGTTTCAAGGAAACGAATGCAAGTGCTATAATGCAATCATACCCAACGCATAGAGGAATTATAACCGGTGATCCCAAATGATTCAGACTGATAATTTGGCAATAACTTTACCTATTAAAATGTGTTTTCTCACTTTTATTTAATGGTTGGAAGTACGACGGCAAATTTCAGGATTTCCAGCTAAATTTCCAATTTGGGCCTTCTATCTGATAGTGATAATTTTGAAAAATATAAACCTAACTTATAAATATGAAATTATATAAATTTATCTAATTCACTAACTAAACGTCTGGATGTCATCATTCTAAATAAACAATTTGACAACGTTGTAGAATCCGTCAACTGATATTTGTTTGTATGATATTGCGTATAATGTTTTTACTTAGCACAAAAAGAAACTGACGTTCTAGTTTTTTCATAATTTAGTAATTTGTTATCTACAATTTAAACGAAAATCAGTTTACAATTTACTAAATTTTTATGACACAGGAATCGTTGGACTTAGAATCGTAATATCTAAAGACTTTTCGCTAGATTCGAGATATAGATTCGACGAAAAAAACTTTGTGGCAATCGAAGAAACTGTTACATCGGAGCTGTCGGATGTTGATTTTTTCAGTACTAAAAACGTGTTGAACTTGAAGGGAAGGTTCGTCATGTTACGGCAAAGTAGTGAATTCATTGGCAAAGAACCTATCTCGGTCAGAGAGGTGTTTGTCCGAGGAACAGGTTATAAAGGATACAGTTACTATATATGAACATTCGGTGATTTGTTTTTAAGCAATTTTAAATTCAGTCAATCCTCTATTACATTATCTCATTTATTTAATGTAATTTGTTTTTATATATTTAATGTAATTGTTTTGAATAAAGGATGATTTCACTTAAATGACTTGCATTGATTAGTGCAACTTCACAAAAAATTTTCTTGACTTCTTTGAAATTTATTCCTCGCTGATTTTTTGTCCATGTTCTTTACAGAACAACATTTTCATCTTAGCTGCTGAAATTTTGACGTACTCCTGGTTAAAATTATTCATTTTGTACTTTGAAATTACTCATTTTTGCTTGTCTGAAAAGTATTTCAAAGTTTTCTTTTTCATTTTCACACTGATATCATCATTCTGCAGAATATTCTGATTCACTACTTATTTAACTTCTCTGTTGTTACTGCATAGTTTGTGGAATGAGGACGACTCGTGAACGTATCTTTTATATTTTTGGTTCTATTTTTGTCTTGTGCGTTAATTGGTGACCAAGAGTTCGCTGATCACGTTGGTCATCATGTCTGAGTGGTCGTTCTTTATAATTTAATAAGTAGCAATATGAGGAAAGAATTCTCAATTTTCATAATTCGTCCTGCAGAGTTGCATATCGAAGATTTCATCGGATGTTATAAGGACTTCGTTGGGATTGCAAAGGCGAATGTCAACTCAACGCACGAATGCTTCCAATTTTGTCAATCTTCAACCTACTTTGCATTATATGTTATTTATTCATTTTATTTTGTTTTTTTCTCTTGAATTTGTTGTTATTACGGGTATGCTGTGTTTTGTTTATATTTGTAAGTAGCAAAATTTTTTATACTATTTGATTTAATTACATTGATTTATGTTTATGTGACAATAAAACTCGTTCACGCTGCTTAATTTTTATGATGCTTTGAAATTTTGTTGAATATTGCAACAGAAAGGTAAGGAATGCGGGCCGCTATTAGACTTTCTTCAGCTCGTTGCTGGTTCAAATGCCCAAACACTGAACATTTCTGTGGAGGTGATAATGTGTATTCTGTATACGAAGGTAAGTGTTTCAATAGCTTCATCTTATATCGGTCAAACCTGATATATCGTTAACTGCTCAACAATTGCAGTTAAACCAGATATTGTGCAAAACGTCACGAGTTTTTTTGGATGTTTTCAAGATGACAACGATAAAGTAGCTGGAATGGTTGCGTCAATAAACACATTAGAAGGCTGCATAAAACACTGCGGTCCGAACTTTCAATATGTACAGGTTTAACATTTTTAAATTCACCGTTTTTTTACTATTAATTTTAATGATAAAAACAATTAGTTAGTGAGGAAAATAATTTAATTAGCAAATCCAAACTTTAGTTTTAACCTCAGTGGTTTTGACAACAAGCCACAAATTGTTTGTTTAGCAGGTAAATGGGAATTTTTAATATTTTTGTCTCATCAAACTGTTAAAAGAATGGTACACTAATTGGTCAATGGAAATGAAGAAAATCAGATATCAGTAGCTTTTTAACTTTTAAATTTACGGAAAGGAAGAACCACAGTGCGAATCTAATCAATGCTAGGTCGTTTCAATTGGGAGTTTTGTAACCAACTGGAACTGCCGTATTGAAGCCCAAAAAATTAAAACTAAAAATATAGAAGAAGGTTTCGACTAGTCTCGAGAAAGTGCACGTCGAAAAGCCAATGGTGTGCTAGGAAAAAGATTTCGGAACCCTATGTTACAAACTTGCAAACAACAATTTGTAAAGCAAATACCTAGACGCAAACACTATCTTTCTTAGTATAAACAATCAATACGTATGTTACATTTTTATTGCATTCAAACGACGACGAGACGGTTGATGATGAAGCAATTTTTTGAGAGTTATAAATCTAAACTGCAGCAGTTGAACATTGTAATGTTTATTTTGCAAAATTCATTTTTATAAATTTTACCATAAATGAATTTCTTTTTTGTCGACAGTTAAATTTTTTTATTAATTTATTAGTGGATTGGGTGAAATAGTTTTATTGGCATTTATTCTTAAATAGTTTCCTTTCAAAATGTAAATACCTACATATACATGCATACAATTTTGAAATGTTATGTATGAACGTTGTATGTAATTATATGTTACTATATGTAATCATAACATTTAAAAAAATATACATGCTCTCTTGCATATCTGAAATTTAATTTTACGTTATCGCAGTTTGGCGGCCAATGTTCTTGTTCTTTGTACTTCAGCCCTTTGGAGTTGGCTGCCGTTTGTGGTGTGCCATGTTCTGGAAATCACCTACAAATTTGCGGTGGTAACAATGCCAAACCTATCTATAAAAGTATGCAATCAGTTTGCTTGCTTGCAGTGTTATCTCTCAGTCTGTCTCTGCTCTCTGTTTGTCTCTCTGTCTGTCTGCTCTCTGTATATCTGTCTGTTTGTCTGTCTATCTATTTGCCTGTTTGTCCATCTATTTGTCTGTTTGTCTGTCTATCTATTTGTCTGTCTGTTTGTTCTTTGTATACCTGTTCTCTGTACGTCTGTCTTGTACCCAATGTAAACTAACCTTAAGTAGTCATTTGAATTTTGTGGCAATGAGCGCACGGCATGTAGAAAAATTAATAATTAAAAAAAATATATTTAAATATCTATTTACACAGACAATATATATATATATATATATATATATATATATATACATGAATCTATAATTTAGTGAATGATCAAATGAGTTTATTGGGCCGTGTGAAGAATAGAAAGTGCAAGAATGTTGACGGTATTGATGAAGTTGATCAATCAGGCAATTGCATTTCAAGATCTTGTCAAGATGGATGGAAAGGTCCAGGCTGCTTTCAAATAGGTATTCATTTATTTCTTTTTTCATTCATTCATTCATTTTTTTATCTATTCATAGATTGTGAAAAGTTTAACTGTCCCGATGGAGAAGGATGCATGGAAGACAATTTAATAATAACTAATTATTCCTCATGCACGCCTCAATACAAAGGTAGAGTTAGTTTATTTCGTTACAGTTGACTTCGACGAGTTTTAAAAATTTTTCTTATTATTTTTGTTCTTATAGACAATTACTTTTAGTTTTGACAAATCTAGCTGATTGCATCAGCTCTACTCTGTTTCTATGTAGGGATTAGAATTTTTCATGGCACGCATTAATATGGCGACGTGTGTATAGATTCCTTGGCTCATTTGTTGAGTTGAAGTTGTTAGGGGTCCCTTAGATGAGTGCACCGCAAGTTGGTGCTCCTTGGACCGGTGCCTGTCTGCCGGAGCGACAGGTGACGATCCGCGGCAAGCTGCCGAAAATGTTGAAAATTAATTAACAAAATCTTGACTCAACGACCCTTCGCCTATTTCCTTTCCTCAATTTGGTTTTAACGCATGGATCATTTCATTTCTACTTTTATTATGTAGCATACTATAGGTAATATTAAGAACATTGAAAATTTTTAAAAAGATGTTATAACATTGTGCATTCTAACATTTGTCGCTTCTAATAGTTCAGATGAATACTGAAAATTAAACAATCTAAGCAGTTTCATAAAAAAAAACATACGATTCAGTTGACGATAACATTGCGTTGAACAAGAAGGTTTACATGAAGAGAGGACTGAATGCCGAGAAAGCTACAGATGGTGATCCTTTAGGTTTGTACGCTGTTCACTATGTGGACGACGACCCGTGGTTGATTATAGACCTTGCTCGTTTCTACATGATCACTCACGTTGGCATATTTTACCCGGATCTTGAGGAGGATGAATCAGGTGAATCTCTTCTGTGTCATTTGTTCTTATATTTACAATATTAGAATATCTTGGACAATAATTTATTTTCAACAAATTGGACAATTTTTTAAAAAATTCTAGCAAAGAAAATTGAAAAGATAAACTTTAAATTGATTAGTGCCAACAATTCGATAGAATTCGTACAAAACTGATATTAGATTAATACACTTTCTGCGTTAATCGTTCAATATGCAGTTATAGGTTCCACAGATGACAATTTTTCGGCTATTACCGATATTACTAAAAATATTGAGTTTAAAAAATTTTCAGCTTTTTATCAGGATAACCATGCAAAATCTTGGTTATCGATCATGAATTGCCTCTGATTTAACTGGATTCTAATTATCGTTTGTAGATTATTGTTCAAATGTATGTTTCCTTTCATGCAGCTGACGGTATACACAACATTCAAGTTGGCGTGGTCTCGGAATTTCCTGGAGGAGAACTGAATTTCAAATTCGACAGAAAGAATTTGAAATTTATCTCTCTAAATCCATTAACAACGCCACTCAACAACTACGTCGAATCGACATTTTCATTAACCGGGCGGCATTTTATGCTCTGTCAACACTAGTCGCTCATTAGTAAGAAAAAGTTTCTGATTCGGGAAGTACAACTGAAGGGGACAGGTTTTCATGATAGTTCAATTTATGTGGAATAATTTTCATTGCGAAACTATATTTTTGTTCTTATTCAAGTCAACTTGTTCTAGAATTTATATATTTATACGCTTTGAATGATTTCACTATAACCGAATAAATTTTCTGGTATATTTTATGTAATCGCATGAACTAAACTTTAAAAACAATTTCAATTTTGGCATTTTTGAGAATGTTACTTTAAAATATTAAAATTTCAGTAGAAAAGTTAGTTTATAAAGTCAGTAAATTGGCTGTAAATGGCTGAAAAGATTATTTGTAGTGAAAATAATGTTTTTCAATTTTATTTCAAACTCGTCATTTTTGAACATCTGTCTAATCGTTCATGAAATATTCACTAAATGAATTTGATTGAAATAAAATTTCTGTTTAATGAAGAATCACACGTCGAAGACTTTATCGGGTGCTACAGGGCTTTCAAGAGTACGAAGACATTCAACGTTGATTCAGTGCATGCATGCCACACACATTGTATTTCTGATAAGTCCGACTATATGGCTTTAACGGTTAAATTCTTTTCTATTGTTCATGTTTAATATTCAACTGAAGATTTTTTTATT